TTTTGATGCAAAAATAAAAAAATAAAAATAAATATTGGGGGCTCCCCATACTTAGAACTGAAACTCAAAAATTTTTTTCATCAAACACATACGTGTGGGGTATCTATGGATAGGTCTTCAAAAATGATATCGAGGTTTCTGAAATATTTTTTTTCTAAACCGTATAGTTTGCGTGACAGACGCTTCCAAAGTGGAAAAAAGTAAACCCCTCTAACTTCTAAAATAAGAAAATGAAAAATCTAAAAACAACATATGATGTACATTACTATAAAAACTACCAACGAAAATTGTTTTGAACGAGATCTAGAAAGTAGTTTTTTTTTAATACCTCGTAAATCGTATACCGCTTATTACCGCGTAATCTTTCATACAAATAACTTTAAAAAATAATAATTTTAATTTCATAAATCAATGGTACGGAACCCTTTGTGCGTGAGTCCGACACGCACTTGGCCGGTTTTTTTATAAAACGTAACGTTGTACAATGTACAAAAGTACATACTTATAAGTGAATGTTCCGAAACAAAATATTAATTGCTTTTACACACAGAAAGTATTTTTCAAACTTAATAAAGAATAGATTAATAAAAAATGTTTTATGAAATGTTAACTCTACCTTACAATAAAATAGCATTTAATTAATTAAATCATATTATGTTCATGTTGTTGAAAAAAATACATGATATACGCCGTGACTACACGACGCGGTTTGTAGCGCATTAGTAAAGTACGTTAATGTCACTTTGTATGATGAAGTGTGATGCGCCGCAACGGAAATTAGTTGGTCATCATTTTTATAATTGCATTAGAAAAATAAGCACTCCGGTGTTTTAGCACATCACATTACAGTCGACATAATACAGAGTATGTTTTTTTAAGTTCATTTAATAAAATGCAAACTTGACGGCGCACTGTAGCAGACGAGGTGAAGAAAAAAGGCAAGACCTGGAACGAGATCAAACGCGAAGCTCAAGACCAAACGCGATGGAGGACTGTTGTGGACGCCCTCTGCCCCATCTACTAGACCTAAAGTAAGTTAATAAAATACTCAATACCAACTTTTTATATGGGGTTGAAGTTAAAGCCACATAGTTTTTTAACACTCGATTCTATTTCAAACTCTGTTTGTGTCCTGTGTTTGGTCTCAATATTGAAATTTAGCTAATACGCTTCAAGCTATGCTTAAAACTGAATCAAGCTTTGGATTTTGTTCTGTGCGATTTTTTATATTTGAGAAGTCATTGCTTTCCATTGGGGTATGCAAAAGAATTATTGATTGATATGAAGTTCCGACCTATACTTTCCGAAGTAACACTTTCGTACAACATTTCCAATGATGATGACGGCATATAGTGATTTCCATCGCTTACGACTGACTGAGGCGTAAGAAAGCACTTCATCAATGCGATCCTTACCACGAGACCTAATGCACTGTGACCAAAGCTGTAATGTCAGTGGTAATAGAGACACGTAATGGAAATCATAACATGTACTAAGTGACTAGAAACTGTCTTCATAACAACATGCTATCAATCTCAATTCATAGTCAAGACAGCGAGAGAGTAAGGAAGTTATAATTTTAATAATCGATTTATAATGACGATGAAAGTTCTTTGAAGAAGGATTAATTTGAATGATTGTCAGACCATGTTCTGTTTCTTAACTACTTAATGATTTAGAATTTTAATTTTGTGTAAATATTAATAGCTGGTTTAGGCGAAACTTTTTCTATGGTAGAAAAGTCATGAGTTTTATCTAAAAAAAATATTGAAAACTCCCCTTTATAGAAAGCTGCAGTACTCTGTGACTGCAACCGAGGTTGGTAGTGTTGTGGCTTTCACTGCGTGCGTGAATCACTGTATTATTTAATTCACGTTACATTATTTATTTTGAATATCAACTTGTTACGTAATAACGACGTTAGCACCCGTGACCATAAATGCATTATTTATTTTTGGCAAGCGTTCATGATTCGTCATAAGGACCGTCCAATCAGATTCTCTAATCGGAATGAACTAGCTTTTTTTCAAAAAGTTGTAAGCTATAAGTCAAACATTTGTTCGTTTTTACGATATTTTATTTTAACAGTACATTGCATGTAACATAATTGTCAGGAGCACTCTTAATACATATGAATTCTAAGGTTTATTTGCGTTATTATTTTTTATTACCAGACTTAATTAACAGTCAATTTATTGGTAAATACGAGTACAAAAATTCACAATTTCGTTGTTTGGCTTTAAATAAGACATCTAATTAATATCACGTGATAATTAGCTACTAACGAGTGACTGATCTTTAGTAAATTCCAAATACGGATGCACTTCACTAGAGCCAGCATGCTGCGCTTCACGACATATGCGCGCGAGTGCATCGCGCGCCACTGCCCTAGATCGAGATCATTGCCCTCACATAGCGTCATGGTACACGGCTCGATTCCATAGAATTACTTGTATCTTATTATTTAAACGTCACGTTATTATTTTATCCGTGATCTGTACGCTTGATACACATCTTAAATGTGATTGCGAAGTAAAAAGCGGTAATTTTATCTCATGACTTCGAAACTATCAAATGATTTTTGTTTGCTGTAATCCTTGAAGTATATTGTAGCACATTTTCAATGAAATGCGAAAAGTTTTTGTTATTTTTTATTTGGATGCGGGCGGCGCAGGTCCGGTTATTTTGGAAATCCTTGGGGAGGCCATTGTCCAGCAGTGGATGTCATTTGGTTGAAACGAACGAACGAACGAAAGACTTTTTTTGAAAGCCTTAGTTTTCTCATGATGATTTTAATGAGTAGACTCTACCAACTCTACCTGAGTTAATGTTAGGAAGCCTTTTAAGAATCATAAGAAGTAATTTTACCTTTCTAAGAAAAAATATAATACCTAGGCAATCGTTGAATGCAAATATTCGACGTAAAAAAAGGATTTTCCCCAAAGCAAGTTAAGCCCAACCTGTTCAAACACCGTAATAGCTGCAAACTGAAGAAAAATACATAATCGGCGAATGCAACAGACTTACATACAAATACAAGCTGAACAACATATGACCAGTTAAGTCAGATAACTCTTACACAACATATTAGCACAATCGTAATAACTGCCAGAGAACGGATCGGATTATTCGGATTGGTAAAACAAACAAAAACAGATATCCAGACGATTCACTCCTGACTACTTTCTCTGGTAGAAAGTGACCGTGGCCCGTACGTTTGAGATTATTGGGCGACGTCAACCTTGTTGTAGTGATGTCACGAGAATCGGCCCCTCAAAAGTGCTACGAATAGGCGTGTGAGTAAATGAACATATGAAACCTTTATTTCATTTAATAGAAAAGTAACAGTTACTTCTTAGTACTGATATTTAATAGCTTACTTAGTGTCAAGAATAGATTCTGGAGCAACTTCAAAGATACAATACTTTTAGTGCAACGCTATGGGTTTAGGAAAATTTACGAGTCCCATGCCCGTTTTCACCATTAATCCCTAATTTTTAAGTGACCCCTATGGTAACATATACAGGAATTTTGTTTTCATAGGGGTCACTTAAAAATTAGGGATTGATGGTGAAAACGGGCATTAGTCGTCTTCTTGCAGTTACAGGAATAAGTTTAATTACGTATGTCAAAGGCCACTTTTAAGAATCTTGTTAAGAAAAGCATGTGGTGACACTTGGTGGGTTCCAATCGGTTCGTTTATAGAAGACATAAAATAGATAATGGCTTGACTAATGAAGTTTTTGCTAAGATTTACCTAATAAGCCTCCAGTATAAGTTAATGATTTGACACAAAACATTCAAGATTTTTGTTTTTGCTGCTCATAACAACTTTATATAACACCAATTCAATGTAACTTCACTATATCCGAGAGCAATGCACTGTTTATGGTAATTCTAGAATATACTAGAAACGGAAACGTAATTCATAGGAACTTATTAGAGGAATAACAAGAATAGGTAGTTTTAATAAAACTGACGTTTAATACCAATTCTTACAGTTCCTCCGAAAGCAGGATAGGTTTAGATAAACAATCAATATTACAAAATTCAGTCTTTATCAAAGGCTAAATTGCTTCTATATTTAACAAATTCACCGGAGTCACAGAGACCCCTGGTTAAGGGTTAATATAGAATAATGTAACACAACTTATGATTGAAGTGTTGACATTCGTGTCTAATATCTTTAAATCCATCATTGGCATGATTCATAAAGTTAGGTAATTCGGTCAGAATATATTCGCAAAAATATACTTCCTGATGGGCTTCGTTATAATCGATCAATCAATTACAATGTAATTTTTCCAGTACCGTACTGCGGGTACTAATTTTCAGTTCATTGTAGATTTTTTTAATTAAAATATTTGTACGTGACCTTACAGGTAATGAAAAACAAAACCTTAAAAGTTTAAGATCTTTTTAAACGATTTTAACAAAAAGAGAAGGTTCTCAATTCGGTTGGTATTATAATTAATTAATAATTTACACATATTACACATATTTGCCAAACTATTGAAACAACAGAAGAACAAAGTTCTAAATAGCTTACCTGAGCCAGCAGAGATTAGTAAAATATCGGTCTTTTGCTTACATTTTTTGTACGAAATATGTATTATACTCGTAGTTTAAACAAAACTTGGGTTTACATAGTTTGCTATAAGTCATACAAATATGCATTTATTCAGGAATATTACTATTAATATGTATAAAAGGGTACAATTGAGCAGTATAATTTTACAAGACCACCAAACCACTACGAATGAGTAGACCAATAAATGTGTTAATGTCGTTTTCATTCAAATCTCATTTCCTTTAGGTTGGCCACATGTCATTATAAAACTAACAGTCCGATTGACACTGAATTCCACTTATGCGACCAAGTGCGTCCCTGGTCTAGTTTGTCCCGCTCTACTGTATGTTGCACGAGAGAGATGGAAACCGGCAGTTTTCCTTTCTCGTCTTTCATACGTCACAGCATTTCTCTGGGCGCGAACGACGTTAACAAATCAGTGTTGCTTTTACACCGGCCCCGTCTACGTTTTAGGGTTTGTTGGTGTCTTATAATTATATTTAATTGGTCGTGAACGCTCGTCGAGGTGTGACTTCAACGGAGATTTCTATCGTTTGTGATTGATAAACTTTACGGCGCATAGCAGCTTCTGATACAAGGTTGGTTTGTTTATATTATGATTTTAAAAACAAATTTAGTTATTTTTTATAATTGTGGTGTTATTATTTATAAAAACTCGGTTTTCATTCAAAAAATCACATTTATAAAGTGTGTTTGGAGCGTGCTCTACTGCCTAGAGGAAAAGACTTCAACGCGTCAGTGGATTTCTTAACCCACTTTTTCCGTAACAATTTGCAGGTAGTGAAAGAAAGCACTAATTATGTGGCTATCAAAAAATTAATTGAAGTATTTACAAAGGTTAAATATAAATATTGATATTAATACTGTGTTATAGCTATTGTGTTAGCAAAATAAAATAATTCTCCATCTTTTTTTATTATAGTAAAGACAACATTGACCTAGATTCTCCATTGTCATATTTTTTAAACTTAATTTTATGATATAAAAAAAGTGCTTAAAACCGAAAAAAGGAAACGAAGTTCATTAACGTTTAACAACGCTTATAATTCATAATCAGTTAACAATAATTATTATTTTCAAGTGTAGTATTTTTTTAATTAATTAATTTTCTCCTAAATTATAGATACGATTAGCGAAATAAAAGTTATTGTAGAGAAAACGATTTTGTGAAAGTTGAAAGTTTTGTTTAATCTTTTTTTTTCTCCACAGACCGGGAGCCAGACTTCAAAATGAAGCTCTCCCTGGTATTCGAGCTTTTACTCATATTCGTGCTGCTAGCCTTTGCTGCGTCTAAAAACATCAGTAAGTATCTAAGTATCTCTTGTTATTTAGTTATTTAAGAATTTTTTGCATCATATATGAGTACATAGTTACGTTCGTAGCAAAATTCACGCTTTGAAAATTATAGGATTTTGGACCCGAAAACGATAAAGTATACCTAGTAGTTGATATACCTAAAACATTGCAAAAATCATTTTGAAATGTGTGTACGCACTGTGGTTGTAGATAATATAAACAATAGCAACCCTCTGAACTTGAACTCTCTATATCTATATAGGTAAGCGGACTAGAGCGTAGGCTATAGCTAGGTTTGGAGATTTTCGCCTTTACACTTATACACTTAAGGTTCTAAGTATATGTTGTGATGTATGTAATAGGTACGAGTAAGTAAGACACATTTATATGCATGAGAACACGTTCAATAAACTTAAACGAATTCGATCTCGTGAAAGTTGTTCGTAAATTACTGATGATTTTCGATCGATTCTCAGTTAAAATGCGTTTTATTAACAAATCGCCGCGTGCAAGTGTCAATCAGCGTACAAGGAAATTAATTTCTTTGACCATTTATGAATCATTCAGCAAAACAATGCAATTGTCAATTTTATGTCAAAGCATTATTACGATTGTTTAAAAAAATATTTCATATGTAACACACTAGATTAGTTTTTAACTTGTTTGTCAAAGGGCTCTTTTTTATTCTCACCTCTTCTTTTACAGTCAAATTGTTATTAAATAGTTCATTCATAGTTTATTATTTGCGATGGATTAACACTTCTTCACCACAAAGTGATCATCAGCTTATTTAGTAACTCTATCGCTACCGCTTTAAATTGACATTGGCACTGTACTGTGTCAATGACACATAAAACTTAAACTGTGACATTTTGTGTTGTGATTACATAAATGTGTTATTATTTTGTAATGAAATTTTTATACATTTTAATAATTTTATGCATTTATTTTTATTTTATGGGCATAGATTTACGTTTTGAAAGTAATCGTGGCAAATTTAAAAGTTCTAACATAATTTCATACATAAATAGTAGACTTACCCATGCACACCATTAATAATTTATGTTACTTCATATTTGCAGTACTACAAATTCTGTACATATGTATAAAAACGTCTCGTGAAGTTTGTCCATAACTAACCAACATATACATAATACATTATGAATAACTTGCAAATTTTAATCACGCATTATATCAATAAACAGTTTAGTGAACGCTAATACATTTTTTTCTATTATTACAAACATTATGTAATGTCAATAACTGTAGCGAGTTGCAAAGTTAATGAATTATTTGTTTATGTTTATTAATTGACCAATAAACTTACGCTGTATAATCATAATATTTTGTGTGACAGACTTATGATTGATATTTATTAATAATGAAAAGGGAAACGTTATATGAAATGGAAATCGAATTTGGAAAGTTTCAATGCTAACTAGTTTTGAAACTGTATTAATTATACAACACTTAAATAGTCCATGTAAATGTCACATTAATTAATCAATTACCCGTTAATATTTTTTGCCTTTAACGAAAGCGCGTGCGTGGAATTTACTCCTAAATCACATTTATCTATTAAAAGAAACGAAACCGCAAAATTTTTATATCTTGCTATTAAAAGCACCACGTAAAGTCTATAATTTTATTGCAAGAGAGATTAATTTCTCCGTTAAACGAAATTAATAAAATATCAAAGTTATAGTCTTTTAGGTATATCGCATGTAAACGCTACCTTTGTTCTTTTCATACGATATCATTATAATTTAGATTTTATTTTTATCACATTGTCAGATTATTTAATTTCATTCATAATACGAGTAGTATACGACAAATTAAATGAAATATGTGATAGTGATTTGTAATGATAGTACCTACCTTATCGCTACTTGTATTGTCCAATTTAAGTGAGTCCCATGATAGGATTCACGATATTTGTGTCATAACATTTACAAGTTGCTTGAACTTTTATTAAGGAAAAATTGTAAAAAATAATTTTACAGGGAAGCAAAAGAACGACAAGAAAGCGGTTCAGAACAGAAACGACAGTGACAAGCTTGAAGATAACAGCATCAACAAATACTGCAAATGCTCTGAATCGCACTGCAACTGCTGTCGGGATTTCGCTGTGCCTGTCGTTAATTTGAATGGACCAGGTAAACAATAAATATTACTAATTGTACTCCTTGTTTAGATTCAAATTCAGAACGTCTACGAGTACTTACTTTCTTATTTGCAATTCCACTACTAATATTCTGTGTGAAAGATTCGAACATTTGTGTTTTGTACCATTTATACAAATCGTGTACAAATCCCACATACGATTTGTTGAAATTCGTATGTGAAGTAAAACTTTATAGCTTGGAAAATATTACTTTTTGAGCACTATTATAGTAATTCTTTAGGACTCTATCTGTAGTCTTCATTTTCTGTCGTCTGTTTTGTTATATTTAATCGAGGAATTACGCCAGTTCGTCCTATTAAGTTTTTCTAGTTAACAAATACATGCAACACAATAATGATATTTTTTAGATTTACAATTACAGTTTCTATGAACAAATAACTAGGTAGGTACCTACAAGATTCTTGTCTTATATTCAAATCAATAAATTATGTTTTTCAGGATGTGCTTCGCTGATGTATCTAAGTGGGGACAAGATGTCGGTGTCACTAAGCTTCGGAAAGAAGGTCATCACTAACCGGACCCTCTCTAGTGAGTAATCAAACAAATCTTGGGAATATCCGTTTCCAAAACAACTTTAAGAAAACTCTCTCCTCACATTTATGGCACCGGTTTTATGAATTGTAAATACGGATGTACAATGAAGTTGGAAAGTTCTTTAGTTACAAATACTTGTGACTTATAAGTTATTGCATTAACGATGTAATTAATTTCTTCAAGTGTAGGTATTATTTGGACTTCGATATTATTTGTATATTTTGTCAAACATTAGATCATAAGATTTCTGGCTCTGCTCTTCCTTTTCTTTAAAATTGTGTAACCCTATACATTGAATACATATTTTAGTAAATTTTCAGTCAGTAATTCATTCGTAATCTTATACTTAAATAATTTCATAATCGCGACAGTAAATACAAAACTAATAAATGTTAAATTTGAATTAGTATAATTTTTAACAGGAACTAAAACCATAACCTTACCTTTACAGGTCGAAAACCGAGCCCAGTTTGTCTACCATTACCGGGCGGACTATCCAAATTCTGTGGACGAGTGTACAACATTGCACGCGCTGGCGAAGAGTTCAGAGCCTGTCTCGGGTTGGAACTTCAATCCAAGAGCGCTGTCGAGGCGGCGGTCAGAGTGTCCTGCTTCAAGTTCGGACCCAGAGGAGTCACCACAGAACCAGCTGACCCCCTCCCGTTAGTACCGCAAAACGAAAAAATCGAGGACGACGACGACGACGATGATGATGAAGACGATTTTGGGCTCGGTAGTGATGACGATGATGATGATGATGACGAGGATGATGATGATGATGATGGTAAGTAAAATTAAAGCAGATAATGTTTATGGTTTTTCCAACTTTACAATTTAAACGGGTCAGTCAAAAATATTTCTTCTTGTTTCAGGAGAGTTAGACGCGGTAAATGATATTGACAGTGCGGACTATACAGGATTTAGTCTTCTTGGAGAAGACTTATTAGGAGACCTGTTTGGTTCGTCAGGTGGTAAGAAGGCGAATAAAAATAAAAAGAAGCAAGCACCGGCTCCTACCCCCACTACAACTACCACGACAAGGCGGCCGAGACCCTCACGTCGTCCAAGTAGAAAGCCAAGCACTAAAAATACTACTCCAAAACCCCTACGCACTACAACATTGAAAATTCGTCCAGTTAATAGGCGTCCAACCAGGAAGCCCTCTAAGAGAAGGCGTCCAACAAGGAGGCCACCTACATCAATCACAGCGGAAAGTCAGTCAGCGACCACTCCGACCACCACAACGATCACAACTCCAGCTCCACTCGTTACTATACCCGTAGTAACACCTTCCTCCACTGCCGCGACAGTCGCGCCGAGCACTGAAAGGCTACTGATTGAAGTTGATACTGACCAGACATTCGAACCAATCATTGGCTTGAATCAAAACGTGGAACATCTATTTGCCACTACGGCGAAGAGTGTCACGAATTTTGAGGACCCCGGTCTCGAAATGTCTCTAGCTCACATCACTGGTCAGTTATCAGGTATGCCTGTTACACCCATTTTAAGCAACACAGCGAACGAATCTGAAATGCCATCTACAAACTCAGAAGAGATTAATTTTGAGAAAATTGAAACGATTACACCTAAAATGCCAACTACAATGTCTTTTTCCACGACCACTGACGAGAAATTAAATGACAATATGATTCAAATTGTTCATGACCTTGATCAATCCGATGAAAGTGTGACCCCAGAATCAATGAAAGGTGAAGAAAGCAGAGGACAGGATGAATATTCGGCTTCGAGTGATAATTCTGGAGCCGACCTTCCAAGAAAGAAGCATAGAAGCAGTTTTGACTTTGACGATTTAGATGTTCTTCATTTGTCCGAAATCGGTGAAACAGTCGGTGAAGAGTTGGGAGTCTTTGGTAGAAATAGACGCCCCAACAAAAACCCGAATCATCACAAAGTTCGTGGAGGCAAGAAAGATGATGACTACAGCGATATTCTGGGACTAGATGACTTGGACTCTTTACTGCGAAAATCTATGAGAGACCACAAAAATAGAAGAAGACAAAACAAAATGATGCGTGGACAGTGGGGTCACGTATGACATCTAGATTAAGTTAGCCTTAATAGAAGTAGAAGCTATTTATTTTTGTACTTATCTTATTTATTGACTGTAAATAGTAATGTTATTTTAATTTATTTCTTCCTCCGATTAAATAATAAATTCTATAAATATTATTTACGTGCATTTATTTATCCCTGACACTGAATCGAGAAATACATCAAAATAATTCATCAATTTTATTAGAATAGTTTGTCTAAATCAGGATCATACTCTTATGGAAAAGAAATAGTTAATGATCAATGAATAAATAACCTGCAAGATATTAAGATTATAAGTGCGCATAAGTTTATATGTGCCTAACACGAAATCACGATAGTCCAGAACCTTCAGAAGCTAAGTGGATCAGAAATACAGCATGATGCTTAAAATTCAATGCATTTTCAAGTCGCCATAATGAGTATCGTGTTGCGGCGTTGCGCCTTTACATATTTCCATATTTAACAGCCGTGGTTATTGTGCTTATAAGTAAATGTCACATACATAGATATTTTTGCATAAAAATCAACGCAGGCAACGCAGAGACAGATTTCATTTTAAGACAAATCGAAATAATTTTGATACAAATTACATACATTAAATTCTAAATTTAGATATTTAGATAATATACTCAATAACTTTATTGTACTCCATAAGTTACAAAAGGTTTTATCGTAGCATCTGTTTACCCTAATATTTAGTACCTATGATAGAGGTTACAGAAGCCCAAAATTAGGCGTTCTGTTATAGATATAGAATCAGTAGCTTTCCATAAAAGAAATGTCATTTAATACGACTATTTGATTTCAAAATGACATCACCTTATTTTATTTATTTAAAATGACGCCTATCATAAATAATCGATAAAATAATCTTACAAAAATTCTGTTCACGTATCGAAAGTCAGCATTGTTAATGATCTTTGGCACCACTTTCTCTTGTACTGGCATTAAAATTTAAAACTTGTTTCATTAAGCGACAACTTAAAATAAGTATTGTGAGTTTGTTAGTAGACAGTTAAATACCTGAGGTTAAGTAGCAAGACAAACAATTTGTGACAGAAAGCCAACCGCAACTGTTCTTCACGCAAATAAATTTCTAAGTGAAGGAAATGATAACACCAAAATTGTTCACCATCCTTCTAATATATTCATTATTTAAATACAGCAATGCAGCATCGGGTGAGTCAAAAATTTGGTTTGCTTTTTGGGAAAATAACTTATTAGAAAATAAAGATTTTTAAGAAATAAATCAGGCGCATTAGATATTGATTTACCATTGTACAATTCACTTCACGTAGTTTCGAATAAATCGATATGAGCCATCACACTTTATTAATAATTCGCAAAATATCCATAATTTAGGTTGACTTAGAATGTACCCATTTAAGTGAATGTATGTGTTTGCAGATGAAATAATATTAGGGGATGACAAACCATACGAAGTAATCGAATTTAAAGTGCCTGCAGCGCTATGGAAAGAAGCTCTAAAACCGACACCAGTTCTTAAATCTCCTGTAACGGTCGTCGTGCCCGTTCATGTACCACCGGAAAATAATGTTGATAACGATGACTACATAGCTGACGAACCAGAAACAGAGGCGGTAACGGAACTGGCTGGAGCAGTATCCAGTTCCAGTTCGCCTGTGGATGATCCAGTGGTGCAACAAGGAGCGATAGCAACCGAAGCAGCGCCTCTGGTCACACAAGCATCAGTAGTCCAAAGTGAGGCGACTACCGCTGCACCGCAGCAAGTCACTGGATCATTGATCAGATTCCCCTGCTCTTGCGTCCAAGGGCAGTGTGGATGCTGCACTGGAGCGATACTGCAAAGGTTCCGCACGAAAGCATGTGGCAACATAACGTTTATTCCTGAGGATTTCATATTCGACGTTAGAATGACTTTGAATGACAACACCGTCGTCCGGCGCAGAGTTTCAGGTAAAAAACAATGAAAATTATGACCAATTGATTCATGTTTTAAAACTGAAACGCATTCATATTTAACGATGTTACAATTACTTAATTATAGTAACTATGTTTATTTTAGTACTACATTTACAATATTTATGAACATACATAATTATTAGACTAGCGTAACGTTATTTATTGTTTTAGCAAGTGATCCACCACCAATTTGTTTCAACCCAAGGAGGGCACCGTTCGTGAACGTGTGCGCAGAAATATCCAACATTCGCATACGGAACAGAAATGCGTTTGCTTGTTTAGATATAAATGCGGATATAGGCGGTTTCCCCGTCTACACGGCATCGTTCAGGTGTTTCGGGTACGTATTTAACCATAAAAAGTTTTATAACCGATTAGTATCACACAGTCGCAGGCATAACCATATATAATATAATGATATACAAACCTAAAGTTCCAACACTCTTCTTATTACTGGTCGCACGCACATAAGTAAATATGTAAATGGCTTTTTATTGGTTATAGCCAGTAAAGATAAAATGTTTATTACTGCACGATATCCATCTTAAAATTTCTTCTTTTGTCATTAATTTTCTGCAAATTATAAAAACATTATTAATCAGAGTGTAATGACACGAGTAGGTACTCGTAGTACTTTACGTTCATAATTTAGATGCTAAATTAGATTAATGATATTTTAATGTTTCAGACTTGGTGCGTCCGGTGTCCAGACAGGATTGAAACCAAAGCCAGTATCGTCAGGTCCTGCTCCTGTAAATCTCTTCGGGAACAACGATGATGATGATGACGATGATGATGGATTCCTGGGAAACGCCGCCGGAGCAGTTCTCGGAGACGGTCCTGGAATCTTTGGTGGAGGCGACGATGACGACGGTGGTCCTCTAGACGCAATCGGCGATGCAGTTGGGGACATATTCGACGGACGAAAATTAAATTAAAACGATCGAAACGCTATTTAGAATACTTTAAGACTGTATTTAACTATTTAAAAGGGATTAGGCTTAAGTATTTATTGTAGTATAAGAATAAATTATTTCGAACTAAATCTGTCTTTCAAACAACCGAATTACCAACAAGTAAAAGCACTAAAAAGACAAAGATGTGAAAGTATTTAGCATATACTGATGGTACAAGCCTCTACTGAACCGGTTCCAATCTGTGCAAGCGAATTGGATTGACTTTGTATCCGCAGAAACCGCGTGCGCTCGCCTCCGACGTAAACACCATGAGCCGTTATTTGACAATAATAAATCTTGTAATAATGCTGAGTGCCTTTGTGATACAAGGAGACGAACGTGGTGAGTGAAATACATAATAACTTAAATAACTTTCACTGTCAATGCACTGCAACTAAACAAAGGATGTTGTTTGCAGCCAGAGATACAGAAAATGGAAACAAAACGATTAGCAACTTCACCGACAAGGACCTACCTGAAGTAGAGCTGATGTTATTGGATAGGGTAGTATTGAGAAGACTAGCGTCAGTCGAGAATTATGGCCGAAAAAGCTCTAAGCCAAAGCCCAAACCCAAACCTAAACCTAAACCAAAGCAAAATTCAACTATTTCAACCACCACCCCATCAACATCGTCATCATCATCAACTTCATCTGGAAGACCTTGTACGTGCGCGCTCGGTGTCTGCAAGTGCTGTACTGGATTGATTTTGGACCTTTTCAACCAGAAAGCGTGTATGAAGATCACTTATCACCCGGGAGACTTCGCTTTCGATGTCGCTATGTCTATGAACGACAGGATTCTTTATGAAAATTCCATGTCAGGCAAGTTTTTTTTTATGTGACAGTATTATAGTTATGCACAAAAGAAGCCATACCTACTAAACAATATGTGCGTTCAACCGCATCGCGCATTCGAGAGTTGCAATAATTTATTCGTCTCAGTTCATACACACATCATAGTTTTGATAGCGCAAAAAGAGTATTCGACTGAAGCTATGTTTTTGTTTTCAGGTAAAAATCCGAAACCAATATGTATAAGCCCACCCAGGTTATCGAACTTGAAAGTGTGTGCGAGATTCTACAATGTGTTTTTTCCTGGAAGGAACTTTCACTTTTGTTTAGCAATGACTGGCCAGTGGCGATCGATTCAACTGTTTGACATGGCTTTCGACTGCCTGAGGTAAGAAGACATTACTAACTTACTTACAAACGACAAGTGATGTATAAAAACGATCTTGAAAGTGAAATACACTCTACATTTATCAACGACACTCATTTACTAGAATTTTTTTCTACATGACGCTTTGGCACTCGTCACTACCTAGTAAATTTTCTAATAAGTATGTTATATACTTTTACCTGCATAATGATTTACATAATTACTATTTTTTTTAATTGAAAATGTTTGCATAAATATAATAATAGCTCATAACACCATTTTTAAATCGACTTTGTACGTTAAGTATTTACTGAACTGACAAGAAAACTTTTTTTTTCAGAATGGGTGCTAACGGCATTGCTATGATGAAACCTGAAGATGCTGGTGGTATTGTCATTCCGAATCCACAGGGAGGAGTGGATGCAGTCATTGACGCTGGAGAGGATGACATTGAAGATTACGATGAAAACCTAGTCAAGTCTTTTTTCGGCATTTTTGATGATTGACGAAGAAAATGTACTTAGTAATTCGAAAGCATCCTTACTATTATTAACTTATTTTAAATTATTCTAACTTATGATAATATATGCTAGCATTGTTATTTATTACACAATCGTTTTGTGAACCTTTCTATGTTTTTACTTAATTAACTATTCTATGTAAGTGTTAAGTTACATATGCATGTATGCGTAAAACAACGTCCAATGTGAAATAAAGATGGCCATTACTACAGAGTCGCGCCAGTATCGATCCGATGCGCCTGAGTTTCTCTCTAGAAAGTCCCGCAAGACAGTTGCGCTCGCACATAACTTGCATACAAATGTTTATATACGAACCTTTGCCAGTGCTTACGTAGGTTAACGAGGTGCTATCATTTGTATGGTGTCCCCAGAGGTAGAAGCAATCGAGGTTTAACACACAAAATGAAAATGAAATTGATTTATTTGTGTTTGGTGATGTGCGGTGCCGTCGTCAGTGCAGGTGACAATGTTATTTAATTCTATACATTTATTCTTGACTTATTGATATTCACCTCCTTTTGATATTACGGGATTAGCACAATAACTTCAGATAGTTCTACAAAGTTGTACCCGATGTGTTTCAGGCTCAAAGTCGTCAAAACGAAATGATCTCAAGAAGAGCCCAAGAAATGAAAACGTCATGGACGTCGAAGACTTCTCAGTTTACTACGACATCGAAACCAACGAGGTAATTAATTCTGATCGGTTTCTCTTTCCATTTAAGTAAGACGTAATGATTCAAACGAATTACAAACAGTTTCATAGGCTTATAAGGCATTAAATCGATTAATCATTTAGTTTGCCCAGTCCACTTGCAAATCAAAATTCAACGTTTGTTTACACTAGCTATTATGTTACTTATAAAATCAGTTCAGAAGTTATACATTATCTCATTTACTTTCCACTAAATACCTACCTACTTATTGGTATGATAATAAAAGTTTATTTAATTACTTTGTAATGACTTACGTATCTATTCACCAAGAAGTTTAGTACCTACAAAAATGTTTACTGATCTATTGGGAAACATATTGGTAAAATACTAATGAGATAAAATAAAGAATGGCTTGTTTGTAAAAATACTAATCTGGACAGAGATATAATTTAAAATGCTTTATTCCTTCAGATGATCAAAGACATCATGCCTCGACCCTGGTACAAGCCTGGGTGGATGTTGAGGCTGCCGTTCACAGGAGGCAGGTGCAACTGTGAGGGTCTGCAATGCACTTGCTGCACCGGCATCCGAATCCAGGCCTTCAAGTTTGACAGGAGAAGTAAGTCATCTTTTGTTATAACGCTTCCATAAATGAGTGCTTTTTTAATGTCTGTCTGTAATGTCTATTTTTAAATAAGTTGTAGTACTTTTATGTGTTATTTATTACTTAACAATCAAACTTTCTTGTTTTTTACAGCATGTGCCGTGTTGACCTACGAGCCAACACAGTCACTCATCGATTTAGAAGTCAAAATGAACAATGAAAGCGTTTTCAGAGATACTTTTTCGGGTAAGTAAAACCGTATAATACGAGTGCTCAAGTGTAATAATCAATAGTATTCAATAGTAAGTAATGCTAAAGTAATCATTATATTATTATTTTGCGCCCATTTCAAAGAGCAATATCGTAATTCTTCGCCGTGCGTGATTGCTAAGAGTTATTTGTCAAGAAATGAAATCACGTGAATAGTACCTAAAGTAGCTGAAAACTTCCTTATGAAAAATGAGATGCATGATATTTATCAAAAAATTTAACAAACTTACTTTTTTTCTAGCTCGCAATCCTCCGCCATTCTGCGTGCCGATCCCGGTGCCGTATCTGCCTCCAGGGCTGATGGACATGTGCGTGCGGCTCTTCGACATATCCGTGGTGGACCAGAAACTGAACGTCTGTATGGACATGGACACTAGAGTCGATAAGGCGCCCGTGCTTGTAAGTTATTTTTTAGTTATTTATAAACTCGCAAACTGATTTACAGTATGACGCCAGAACTAGCAATGATATCTATGTTGGTTGGTGTAGTTGAGATTATGATTTCCCTCCAGAGTCACAAACAGTCGCAGGGTCTTTCAATGTTACGGCAGCAGAGATCACCCTGAAAGGCTTACTTATCTACAAAGTGTAGCCATTTCCACTTTACCTACCTAATAAATCTCCCATCATACCTACTGTCATTAAATTATGTGGTAACTTACCACTTCACGTTGTGTAGTTATCCTGTTTTAAACTAATGTTAAAATTCACTCTTACCACATTTACACTGCTTGGTATCTGAAGGTTTATCCATTTTTTTTTTCAGATAAAGTTTTTTTATTTTCGCGCCAGCAAAAACAAAGCTACCAACATAATCCATTAACTTGTTAAGCGTTCAGTTTCACGCGTCATTGTTAGTCTCGATTTTTCTTCAAACATTTGAATTAGTATTTTAATAATCTATTCTTACTTTTAGTACATACATACTTTGTATTTTATCAGCCAATTCTAGAAATGAAAAATGTAATCAAAACCATGGAATGTACGATAGTTAGTATTAATAATGTTTGTGGTTTGTTACAGATTCTACATTTCGACTGCATGAACATGGGTCTAAATGGCGTAAGTTTATCTAAACCCGGTAGTACCCAGACCCATACAAGTAATCAAACTGCGGTGGAACCTTCCCAGCTCGCCAGTGACGTTTATGATACCGTGATTGAAAATATAGCTTCGTCAGAGCCACCCATGTTCAATAACAGTATTAAATATATTTAAATAAATTATTTACTGTAATTCATTTATCTTTTAATAATCCTGTAATTTTTATATTGCACCATGGCTGAAATAATTATGTCCTTTGCCGTAGCAAATTTTTTATGGATTAAAAAATATCATGTAAAGGGATGTACGATGATCTTAAATAATTTTGTGCATGTCGATAGAAATTATTGTCAACTTGAAACAATAAGTGGAAAGCTTAGATTAATAAAACCTAGATAGATAGTCAGTGCACGAAAGGTGAGGCAGATTTTAGTAAGCCAGAATGGCTTACTCGTAAACGTCACATGAACTGTCAAAGTGAAAAATTGGTAAACACGTCCGACGACTTTTAATTAATTAAGACGGTTTGTGCTGTGAAAGGGTGTCTAAATACATCAGAAAAACTAAAGAAAGTGACCAGTGTTACATTTCATAAGTAAGTACTACGATTCGACGCGTATTTTGCTTGAATTTGGCTTTCAAAAATTAAATACGGGAATGATACCAGTAACAAGAAAATTTATTTCCCAATTGTTCGCCGTACAAATACACTTCCTTTTTTATGAAATCGAGACTTTTCAGTCGATTTATCTTATTGTAATTAGGTAGGTACTTTGAATTCAATAAATAAGTAAGTACATGATGCGTTTTGTTTTTGTTAGTTATAAAATAATTAAAAACGTATTAAAAATTTCCCTACTTTCGGGAAAATCGCCTTCACTGTCTACACTCCCCAACAAAATTGACACTAATGACATAAGATTTTTGCCTCACTCTTGACGAAGCGTTTGTATGAAGACTATCCATCTAGGTTTTATTAATCTAAGGTGGAAAGTAAAAAGATATATTTAATCAGCTCGTTTTAATAATGCAACATTGTTCTCAGAAAAACAAAAAGTTTCTTAATGTTTGGTAATAACTATTTATTTATTCAGTACAACAACAACAATACTATAATTTTAACTAAGTAGAGCTGTGTTAGTGTCTGTAAATCTTGATTTAAGTTTTATGCTCTATCTGTTATCCTTAGTGATTATGACAAGTCTTGTTGGCAGTGTTATGCTTATTTTTATGGAAGCAAGGTGTTCAAAACGTAAGTAATTTTTAGTCAAGAAAAATAGCTAGGATGGGTAAATTAAATAAAAATCTATAGTCAACTGTAATGATTAAAAGCTTAATAATAAATAAAATATATTATTTCCCGTACGTTAACGGGCTTGCTATTTAAAGGAGATGGCTGGTATCTTATTATTTACATAACTCAATGTGCCAAGTGTATAAAAATATCATTTAAGATAATATTTTTTTTGTAGTTGGTTTCTATTTTTATATTCCCTTGAAATGTATAAAGATATCGATATCGTTATTCTCTTTACGATCTACCTATACAGCACTGTCCCTTTTGTCTCATGTCATCCGTCATCTGTCTGTCACTGTCAAAAACTCCAGACAAGCATTCGCAGGAAGGCAGGCAAAAATTTTAATAAAATTTTGGATTTTCGGAAAGCTAAGAGTTGCATTTGCATCAGTGTTAGTCCCGAAATTTAAGGGTAAATTATATAATCTCTCTGTAAATTTTACAAATGGGTGATAACGATGATTATTATGATGGTGACGGGTTAGTAAAGATGCATGCGGCAACCTTTTTTCTTTGGCTTTTCATGGGTATATTTTGTTGGTGTCTGAGTTGTTAATTATGAATTTTCTCCTTGAAAACTGTTTCTTAAGTCATTAACCTGCATACTAATCTGTTTTTTCCATAAAAAGTATTAACATTGGGAACATATTTCTCATGCGATGTGCTTTTGCAAAGACTTATCACTTTTCATAATTGCGTCCATTATATTTTAAATTTTATCTGCAAGTATCATATTTAGTGTTTTAATAATAAATTTCATGATATCAAACCATTTTTTCATAAGCATGATTCAGTAAGTGTTGGTGATTGTGCTACAGACAGTTAGGCAGTTACTATGTTAGGTATATGTGTTTTACATTGTAAATTTAATATGTTCAGGACAATGGAGTCTTTGGCAACCTCTCCAGAGGTCACCTACAACTGGGTAGATATTACTTCTGATTTCTTCAAGCATATTCAAGGTTCGTACAATATTTTGAATTATTCTGTTAATTAGATAAAAGGTACCAGTTGTTGTTTGGTTGAACTTCCTTATAATGGTGCTGCTAGAAATTAAGAGGGTTATATTTGCCAGATATTTAAAAATAAAAATTTTCAGATCTTCAATTAGGCGAGCTCCTACACGATGGCCACTTGTTCGGACTGTTTGAGGCAATGTCGGCCATTGAGATGATGGATCCCAAAATGGATGCTGGAATGTTATGCAATCGCGGAAACCCTAAGCCACTTAATTTCCAACAAGCTGTTGCAGTATGTGACTTTAACAATAAACGTATTAATAAAATTCTATATTTACTTCTGGATTCTAATAGTTATTTTTCTAGGCTGGCAAGCTGAAAATAGATGACATAGAACCGAGTGAGCTGATCGGAATCATTGATGCAACTAAGGCCTGCATCGTGTCTTGGTTGGAAGGCCACTCGTTGGCCCAAACTGTCTTCACCAACCTGTATTTGCACCAACCCCACAATATTGTGAACAAGACGTTGAAAGCATATTGTATTGCAGTGTACAAGTTATTGGATTGCATCAGAGATTGTATTAACAAGTATGTCAGACTATTCTTTATTTGGTTTATTTTGAATGAAAAAAATAAATCTGTATTTTAAAATAGCTCGCATGCTCTCAGTCTTGTCAGAAAATTCCTATTTTCTAAGTATTTAATGCCGTAATATTTAAAATAAATTATTACTTCTTGTGATGTTTTCAGGGCCCAAGTGTTTGAAGAAGAAGATTTTCAACCTATGGGCTACGGTTATCGTCTTGGCTCGAACCCGCAGACAGGGAATACTTATGATGTCAATCTCGAGGTGACTGAGCAGAAGTGCGTTGCTATGTTAAGGGAACAGGAGGAGGAGCTGAATAAGAAAGCTAGAAGTGGTGAAGATGATGTAAGTAAATGTAATGACCTACTTATATATCTTATTTTTAAATTGTTTAGTTTTTGAAAGAAAGAAAGAATCATCATCAGGAACAGGAATCAGCTCTGCAGATACCTCTGATACTTAAACTAAATGAAAATCACTCAGCATATAAGTCATTCTTGCATGTTTTGGTTTTTCTGGAGAGGTTCCACACTACACTGTTATTCCTTTTTTTTTCATTTAATGCCAATAGACATTTTCCAACAGTCAATTTATTGGTCAGGCACATAAACTAAGATATCAAGCTTAGTTTCAATTTTTTTTTTTTACAGGCGAGCAACCTCTGGGCAGCACTCGCAGCGAGGATTCGCTTCACCAGAATGTTCTACCAAGCCCTCCTCCTGATTACGAAGAGAGACTCACAGTCCGGCGTGGACTGTGTTGCACTGCTGAACGGTTGCTCTGAGATGATGAAGGTCATCATCAAAACAGCTGGGAAAGGAACACAACCTGTTGAGAATTGTGAGTATTTTATTTGGGAGTTTCTTCTGTTGTTTCTTCTCAGCACTAGATCATATCATTGTTCCGAAGCAGTGGTAAAGTTGGGATGTGTAAAAGTGCTCTTTGAGAACCTACTGCACTCTCCAGGAGATTAACGTCCTGTCTCTCTCATTTAACTCGCCAGTGGTACCAACTGTTAAGTGTGAAGATTTCAATCAATTTCACCACTGAGTTATCAGCTCTATTAGCACATGTTAATGCTCATTTTTACTTGCAGCCAACTTCCCAAATCCAATGGGCTTTGAGCCAATGATCAATCAGCATCTGCTGAGACTTGAGCTGCCATCTTTTGTTTATGTCCAGATCTGAGTTATTGGTGGATCAATTGTGTGGACAGAATTACAGCTCAATCACCATGTAATAAAAGTTATTTCCGATTTGCAGCCGACTCCCCAAACCCGATGACCTTCGAGCCGATGATCAACCAGCATATCTGCTAAGACTTATTCTCCCTTTGTTATTACGTCCATATTTTAGATATCAGTCCACTGAATAACCAGCCCAATTACCGTATCCTAAGACAGATTTTCGTTTGCAGCCGACTCCCCAAACCCGATGGGCTTCGAGCCGATGATCAACCAGCGTCTGCTGCAGCAAATGCCACCTTCTTTTGTTTCTCACAAATTGATCTCGCCACTGAATAACCAGCTCAATTAGCACGTATTAATGTTCATTTTCGTTTGCAGCCGACTCCCCAAACCCGATGGGCTTCGAGCCGATGATCAACCAGCGTCTGCTGCCGCCCACGTTTCCGCGGTATACGCGCATCAAGCCGCGCGCCGACGCGCTGCAGTACTTCGACGAGCTCGTCGCGCGGCTGCGGCACGCGTGGAAGATCACCTCGTGCACCAACTTCCACACCGCGCTGGTATGAAAATCTCTTTATTGGACTAATCCCGCATCTCTTTCCTACCTAAACAGGATCTACAGACTACAGTTTGGTTACCAATGAAAACTAACCAGTGAAAGCTGAGTAGACCTGACTCCTCGAAGATAGCGTACTGTCTTGAAACTCGTAAAGAATCAACCTCATTCGTTCTCCTCCTGCACTAACTTCTACACCGCGCTGGCGCGTGCCTACTCTCTTCTAATGTAGGCTTGACTCAGCGCTCATACTTAGACATTGGACTCTCAGCACTCGTAATTAGATACCCTGGGACTCGCGCTGCAGTACTTGTGGAAGATCACCTCGTGCACCAACTTCCACATCGCGCTGGTATAATAGGTATTATAATGATTTTTTAACTTGAAACCTTACCTTACCTTTACCTACCTAGCAAAGTAGAAAAGGATGACCGTAATTATTGGGCAAATAATAAAATCAAAAACCCACTGGGCAATCATGGCAGCTAAAACTACTCGTAGTATGGACAGATAACCTTATAATGATGCAGGATGCAGGTCGCTTTTAATCTGAAATTATTGGGGGAGACCTACGTCAGTGGCTGAAATGTTGATGACGATACTCACTGTCAACTCGAAACTCTTCACTTCTTCAATTCAGCCAAATGACGTCCACTGCTTGATAAAGGCCTATCCCAAGGATCACCATAACGACCGGTCTGCGCTGTCTGCATCCAGGTTCTTCCAGCGACTTTCACCAGATTGTCGGTCCACCAAGTGGGGGTTTCACGCTACGTACTTGACCCAAAAGAAATATTCTAATTCTTAAATTGTGACAGCCTGTGCCCTTATTTGCCTACCCTAACACCACTCTTTCTCCCCAGGACTTCTTCATGGAGTTCAGCCGGCAGCGCGCGTGCATCCTCTCGCGTTCCGCGCTACAACTGCTGTACCTCAGCCCGTCGCCCGCCACCACGGCCTCAATGGCTCAAAGCGCGATGAACTCGCCCGCGGGCCAGCCGCGGCCGCAGCACGCCTTCGCCGAGATACTGCGGGAGTCCGTCAAGAGCTTCGTCAACCCGCCCGCCCTCACGGCCAAGTCGCCCGTCCTGTCCACGCCGCAGGTAACTAGCGTCAGTGTGTCACTAGCGCGCCACGGCGTGTCACTAGCGTGCCACGGCTTGTTACTAGCGCGCCACGGCGTGTCAATAGCGCGCCACGGCGTGTCACTCGCGCAGCACGGCGTGTCACTAGCGCGCCACGGCGTGTCACTAGCGCGCCTCAGTGTGTCATTAGCGCGCCTCAGTGCGTCACAGTGACCACGGCCTCCATGGCCCAAAGCGCGATGAACTCGCCCGCGGGCCAGCCGCGGCCGCAGCACGCCTTCGCCGAGATACTGCGGGAATCCGTCAAGAGCTTCGTCAACCCGCCCGCCCTCACGGCCAAGTCGCCCGTCCTGTCCACGCCGCAGGTAACTAGCGTCAGTGTGTCACTAGCGCGCCACGGCGTGACATTAGAGCGTCACGGCGTATCACTAACGTGCCTCGGCGTGTTACTAGCACGCCTCGGCATGTTATTAGTGTGGCACGGCTTGTCACTAGCGCGCGCCGGCGTGTTACTGGCGCTTCTCGGCGTGTTCCTAGAGCGCCTCGAAGTGTCACTATTGCGCCTCAATGTATCACCAGCGTGTAGCGTCCCATATTGTGTCACAAGCGTGTCAGTAGCTCGTTTCAGCGTAACACTGTGCACGTCGCTGTCTTTAGTGTGTCATTACAGTGGCTTAGCGTGCCACTAGTTATTATGATCTTGTACAAGGCGCCAGAAAATCGTTCGAGTGCCAGTTGGTTCCTTGTACAAATAAACCAAACCCCAAAATCTCAACAATCTAAAAATTTAAACGTAGGTTCTACCTGAATTTTATTATTTATTTATCTCCACAGGCCCGTGAGTTCGTGGAGAACTTCCTGGCCCGTTGCGTCCGCCCGTTCGCAGTCCTACTGCAAGTGTGTGGACACAACCGCGCGCGGCAGCGGGACAAGCTTGCCTTGTTGTTGGACGAGTTCGCAGCTCTGCAGGAAGAGGTAAATATGTAAGAAATAATCAAACGCCCTTCTTATATTCACGTTTATAAAGTTCAATTTATGTATTTTGATAGAGGCTTGCACAGATTAAGCGTCACATTCCACGGCGGTGAAGTGTACTAGACGTGTATTCGTAATTATAAGCTGTATTGGTGCTTAGATTTGTATTCGGAATTGATACTCTACTGTCTGATGTCAATTATTGGGTGTAGTGTGTCCTTCATTTAATAATCACGAAATGCGCATTGATTTTTTGCACTTGCAGAAAGGCTCTCAATTTCAAATGATGAAACACCGTAGATTTGAAGATGATACTAATTTGTGTGGGCAGGCCTCCGACTAGGTGGACCGACGATCTGGTAAAGGTCGCGGGAAGAGCCTGGATGCGGGCAGCGCAGGACTTCATTGTGGAAAACCTTGGGGGAGGCCTTTGTCCAGCTGTGGATGTCATTTGGCTGAAACGAACTAATTTGTGTCTCATTGTCAAGTACTGCGAGTGCACATGCTACTTTGATATTTACCTTTCTAACGCTAAGGTATATTTCAAAGAAGTACGTAAATGTTTACCTACTGTGCATGGTATTTTGAAACTTATTGTTATAACAATAAGGTCTATTTCAAAGGCGGAGAGCGTGGATGCGGTGCTGAGCGGTGCCGCGGGGACAGGCCCACGGGCTTGCTTCGGCACTTGGATCCTGTACCACGTACTAAGGGTCATGATCGCCTATCTACTGTCCGGACTCGAACTAGAGCTCTACAGTGTACACGAGTATCACTATATCTTTTGGTAAGTTTATTTAAATATGAGTCGTAAATGTCGTAATACAAGTGGATAAGATTCATTTTACATGGTTCCTGTACCACGTACTAAAGGTCATGATCGCCTATCTACTGTCCGGACTCGAACTAGAGCTCTACAGTGTTCACGAGTATCACTATATCTTTTGGTGAGTTTATTGAATTATGCACTGTGAAACAACTGAATAAGGTTCATTTTACTTGGATCCTGTACCACGTACTAAGGGTCATGATCGCCTATCTACTGTCCGGACTCGAACTAGAGCTTTTAAGCGTTTCACTGCTCGTCGAGGACATTGTACCGACATTTGGAGCGATAACGGTACAACGTTTGTAGGAGCAAGCAAAGAGTTGCAGCAATTGAGTTCCATCCAAGAACCCATTGTACAAAATCTTGAAATGAATGGCACTACGTGGCATTTCATTCCCCCCCATGCCCCCAATTTCGGAGGTATCTGGGAGGCTGGAGTGAAATCTACTAAATTTCACCTCAAACGCGTAATTGGAGACCAAACTTTAACTTTCGAGGAATTAAGCACTCTCTTGTCTCAGGTGGAAGCATGTTTGAATTCACGTCCGATAAGTGTCATTCATAGTGACGATCCTAGTGAACCACTTCCACTAACTCCAGGACACTTTTTAATTGGAGAGTCACTCTTGACAGTACCAGAGCCCAATTACGAAACCTCATCATTAAGCTCTTTAAGTCGTTGGCAGTTAATACAGAGATCAGTTCAAACCTTTTGGAGACGTTGGTCTCAGGAGTATTTGGCATCAATGTTAAATCGATATAAATGGAGATCTCACACTCCAGAGCTAGAGATCGGCCAAATTGTTTTGATAAAGGAAGACGATTTGCCTCCTAGTAGGTGGCTTTTAGGGCGCATTTTAGAGAAGCATCCAGGTAATGATAACATATCACGTGTGGTCACCTTGCGCACTAAGTCATCCGTCATAAAAAGACCTACCTCAAAACTTTGTATTCTGCCTATAGCAAACTAAGTTTGTATTGTTAAAAATGTTATTTTATTAAGTACAATTAAGTACTATGTTATTTAAGTTAAGACATTAGTTAAGTACCAACTCAATGTTTAGTTCATTAAGTTTTGTAGGCCATTCCTGCAATTAAATGGCCTAAGGGGGCGGTGTGTTTAAGAGTGTTTATGTATTAAGTTCAAAACGCCACCAACAGATGGCGCTGTACGTTATTAACTCGCGCAAGTGAAGTATTTTTTGGCCCATACATATATGGGTGACTACAGAGTCCATTTTCGAATAACTTAATACACGTCTTGTCTTAGTACAATACTATTGTGGTTTTATTTGAGTTAACCCTTTAGTACAGTTCAGAACATCGCAAGTTCAGTGTGTTAACAGTACGCAATGTGTGAAACGGAATAGATTTAGTGCTGAGGTATTTCTTGTATAATAAAATCGATTATTTCCGCGGTTCATTAATCGATTGCAGTGAATACTTAGTTATTAAAAACGGCATGTATTTAAATGATCTTTTTAAATTAGCAAAAACGGCAAATAAAAAAATCTAAATGGTCATCTATTTTAATGATTGATCCTCTTTCTTTGAGACATAAAATAAATAAAATCGATCGACATTTTAACCTCTTTTGAACTACGCAAAAATATTTTGAGATGTAAAAATTATATCTGATCGTTACTTGTTGATCCTCAAAAATAAGAGAAATGAGCACCAAATATTCGATATTGTGATACTTTTTTAAATAATTCGATATGTATAAATTATTTTTGTCTATATCAAATAATCTTCAAAATAATTATGTTATGGTACTTATTTTTATTAATTTGTAGTCAAAGGATGGAAACTATTTAAGGGCACTCGATGTTCAAAGAATTATTTTTTATTAAAAAAAGCATATTTAACACGTTCACACAGCGTTATCAGGTCGAATTGACCTTAGGTGTTGGATGCGTTGGTGCGGCATGGATATATTCGGTCTTTTCAGTAGTACGAAAGATAAATATTGTTTTGCAATGGTTTCGTCAAACACAGTAAATATTTGGAAAAAAGACTTATCAGGTCCTTACGACCCGATGTCGCACTAAAAGTTAAAAAAAAATCGTTTAGTGCTTTTATCGGGTCTGATCGACCCGTTGACAGATGACTATGGTCACTGGTCACGGTCGAGATCGGTATACTAAGAGAAAATCAACGTTGCGATTTTAAAAAAATAAAGAGGTAAAAATTATGATGTCGGGTTAGATGTCAGAAGTAAGAAATTATTTTACATAGCGCCTCTAGTCCCAAACTAAGCAAAGCTTGTAATTAAAACAAACATGGCAATGTACCATTCTGCTTGCTTATTGGCCGCTAAGCCCTTGGCCAACTCAGTAACCAATAACGGACGATTGTCACTCAACCACAAAGTACCGCGTAAATTAAAAGATATTTTTTAATTAAAAATATTAACCAATAATATTTTTTGTTAGATCAAATATATTTTAAAGTTAAGTTATACATAGATTAAAATGTATTTATTAGGTGATCAATATTAAAAGGCAAACTTGATATAAAAATCATCAAATTAACAAAATCAAAGATCAATAACTAAAAAAGATGATCAAATATTATTTTTGTTTACCAAATATGAAAAGAGTATGTTAAACATAAATATTATGTTACCTTTAATGAAGATCGTTCAAAATTTATCCGTAGATCAACTAATATAGACCCAATAATTAATATAAAGATAAAATATAATAAAAAACATCATTTATTTTTAAAAGTGCACATACAAAAAAGATCAATTAGTTTTTAGAGGATCAAATAATATTGTCCCATTAAAAACATCACAAAAATCAACCATATTTTTCGATTATTGACTTTAATAAACGCATTAAAAATAAATTAGTAGTTTTTAATTTAAAGAAACAGAACCAGCACTTTTTAGGAATCGTTTTTTGAACACAAACCATGAAATTTGAATATTATCAACAAAAAATTGTTACAATAAAATTTGTAATTAAAAAAAACATGTTTTTTGTTAAATAACACCCATAAAAAATATTTATCTAAAAGTAGGTTTTACTAACTCTTCGAAAAAAATCGATAGATAAATCGCTATGGTTTAGTTATGTGACATCTCCAAATCTTTCAAACTCGAAACGTCGTACGGACCATCCTAGGCGAAAAAAGACTATAGGCAAATAGTTAGTTGAGAAAATTCTTAGATTTAAGCATTTTACAATAAGAAGACGACAAGAAGAAGACACACACAATGACAGATCATTACGGACCATTATATCTGTGACAAAAAAAAAACCAACTGGAAAGAAAAAAAAAAAGAAGACAAAGACAACTGTCACTGTCATTTATTGGACACATTTTCGCATTAAAGTTCTGCGTGCATGGTGCAAATACATTAAGTCGGCCAGGGATTAATCAATTAAAACATGTGCATGCGCAGCCACGTCTAGAATGACCTGGCAGCGGTTCAATTAATGAGGAAAAGTGTTGCAATCTGTTCATGGGGTCCTGTACCACGTACTAAGGGTCATGATCGCCTATCTACTGTCCGGACTCGAACTAGAGCTGTACAGTGTTCACGAGTATCACTATATCTTTTGGTAAGTTTATTTAAATATGAGTCTAAATACAGGTGGATAAGGTATAGAATAGAATAGAATAGAATATTATTTATTTGGCACAATACACAATAGGTACATGATATAGGCACAATTCAAGATTAAAACATAGAAAAAAAAAACAAAAAAGAAAAATAAAAATAGATTTTAAGTGCCCTGTGCCAAAAAGGTCCCTGACTCAGCATTAGTCGTGACAAAGATGCCACGACACTGATTTTCAGCAAGGACCTTTGGGGCACTGGGGTCGCCGTAAAAATAAAAAAATAAAAGAACAAAGAAACACAGATTATACCTAACATAAATACAAACAATAAAATCATAAAACAACAATATGGTAAAATCTAAGTCTATTGATTATATTTCAATTACACATGATGCAAAAATATTTTTCATTTAATGTACGCAATGCTTGAAACGGAATAGATTTAGTGCTGGGGTATTTCTTGTATAATAAAATCGATTATTTCCGCAGTTCATTAATCGATTGCAGTGAATACTTAGTTATTAAAAACATCACAAAAATCAACCATATTTTTCGATTATTGACATTTTTATAAACGCATAAAAATTAATTTGTAGTTTTTAATTTAAAGAAACATAACCAGCACTTTTTAGGAATCGTTTTTTGAACACAAACCATGAAATTTGAATATTATCAATAAAAAATTATTACAATAATATTTGTAATTAAAAAAAAAAAACATGTTTTTTGGTTAAATAACACCCATACAAAATATTTCTCCAAAAGTAGGTTTTATTAACTCTTCGAAAAAAATCGATAGATAAATCGCTATGGTTTAGTTATGTGACATCTCTAAATCTTTCAAACTCGAAACGTCACACGGACCATCCTAGGCGAAAAAGACTATAGGCAAATAGTTAGTTGAGAAAATTCTTAGATTTAAGCATTTTACAATAAGAAGAAGACACACACAATGACAGATCATTACGGACCATTATATCTGTGACAACAAAAAAAAAAAAAAAAACCAACTCGAAAGAAAGAAAAGAAAAAAAGAAGACAAAGACAACTGTCACTGTCATTTAATGGACACATTTTCGCATTAAAGTTCTGCGTGCATGGTGCAAATACATTAAGTCGGCCAAGGATTAATCAATTAAAACATGTGCATGCGCAGCCACGTCTAGAATGACCTGGCAGCGGTTCAATTAATGAGGAAAAGTGTTGCAATGTGTTCATGGGGTCAAGACAGGTGCAGAATAGACTTTTGTCCCTCCGCACCTCAAGGGGCCCACGCGGCGCCGGAACGTAGCGTCATCGCCAATGACACGCGTCGCGTATAACCTAATGGTGAGATACATTTACACTAATATTTAGTTTTTTGCAATGACAAAAGATAAGTCTTGAGTTGTGTCTTAAACGTGAGTTTCGTTTTTAGGGCGCGCAATGGCGGTGGTAAATCGTTCCAGCACCGCGAGGCCGCAAACCTAAAGGAGCCCCTGAAGGCAACAGTGCGGTGTCTTGGAGTCAGAAAGACGTGAGTACATGCTCTCTTTTGCGTCCTCCCCCGCTCATGGGCCCACGCTAGCTTCTGGTACAAATAACTCGGCCTGTTCGCATGAATCACACCAAACAACATAGTCGCTAGGTGCAACCGCCTGCGTGCCTCCATCCGTATACGATTGGCACTGTTCAGAAAAGGAGTAACATGCGTCCTAGGTGGAATGTGGAAGCAGAAACGTGCACAAGCATTCTGCACTCGCTGAATGAGCTTTGCAGTCCTGGCTAGAAGGCATGGTCCATAGACAGTGTCGCAGTAATTAAGCTTAGAAAGTACCAGAGCCTCACAGAGCGAAATGCGAAGCTGTTCACATAAATAAGGTCTCATTCCATAAAGCAGTCGGAGTCGATAGAAGCATCCCCTTGCACATTCAGCTATATGGCTCTCAAACTTAAGGTGGCTGTCCATAACAAGGCCTAGGTTTTTGACATTGTTCACTCTTTTGACAAGATCACCATTCACCAAGATATTCAGTGGAATACTGTTGTACTTTGATGTTTGTTTTGGTGTGCCAATAAGCATGACCTTGGATTTTGCAGGGTTAAGGACGAGACAATTTGACACACACCATCCAGAGATGCATTCAAGATCCCTATTTATGCAATCCACGGCCTCTCTGTACTTATCTGGAGCAAAAGAAATATACATCTGAAGATCATCGGCGTATAAGTGGTGATGACAATGTGTTATATGTGTTGTTATGTCGGCACTGTACAGTATGTAAAGCAAGGGTCCCAATATAGAGCCCTGGGGCACGCCACGAGTCACCACCTGCGAGGCGGAACGTGACCCACGGCCATCCGACTGTATGAGCTCCACACACTGCCGCCTCCCAGACAGGTAGCTACCGAACCATCTGACCGCACTTTGATCGAGACCATAGTAACTCATCTTGGACAAAAGCAAAGATAAATTGATGGAATCGAACGCTCTCGAGAAGTCTAGCAGCAGCAGCAGGGTAACCATCCCTTGGTCTTGTGCGGCCAAAGCATTATCAACAATATCTGCCAGAGCCGTTGCCGTGCCATATCCCTTCCTAAAACCCGATTGAAATTGTGGAAGCATACCATGCCCCTCTAGATAAACAGTCAATTGATCACACACAATCCTTTCTAGTACTTTGGAGAGACAGGGAAGGATGCTGATTGGGCGGAGATCTTGCAAAGTAGTGGGCTGGCTATTTTTCGGAAGTGGTTTTATGACTGCCTCCTTCCATTCTTCAGGGAACCTGCTCTCAGTAATGGAGCGGTTGATTATAGCTGTGATAGCGTCTAGTGAATGAGGCAGAGTGAGCATGAGCATCTCCAATGATAAACCATCATTACCCTGAGCATTGGATTTCGCTGCAGCTGCGCGCTCGCCTCCGGCCCGGGCGCCGCCCCGGCCCCCAGCCGCTGCTCGAGCGCGTCCATCCGCGCCGCCCCGGCCCCCAGCCGCTGCTCGAGCGCGTCCATCCGCGCCGCGCCGGCCGAGGCGCCGCTCTGCACGGCGAGGTTGATCACGTGCAGGCGCTGCTCGACGGCTCCGACCTTCTCCTCGCAGCGGATCACCCGGCCCGTCAGCTCCCGTATCTCGCCGTACACGTCGTCGATCCGGGTGTGCATGGCCCGTACCTCCTCCCTGAATTGCCTCATCTCAAGGACGAAGGCGTGGAAGTCGGGCATCTCTACAGTCGCGTTGTGCGCGGTGTCGTCTAACGCCGGCCCCTCAAGCATGGAGACGTCCAGGCCGACGGGGCTCATGGAGGAGGCGCCCCGCCGCAGCGTGACGCCGTCGTCGACAGCGGCCCGGACCGGCGTGTCCGTATTGTCGCGCTTGGGCTGCGCGCTGACGCAGGCGACGCACCGCCACCGGTCCCTATGCTCCCCGACCAGCGTGCCATGGAAGCGCTGCTCAGTAACGCCGGCGCACACCAAATCGTAGTGTTTTTTGCATGTATGGCACGACAAACACCTCCGCCTGTCCTCAATCTTGCGGAAACATCCGCCACAAGTTTTGTTTTTAGGTGACATGTTTTTATGTGAATGTAAACAAAAACGAATAAACGATTGTAGTGATGTGTGTTTAACTTAGTGTAGCTTCAAAGCCCAGTCTTTGTGTTGTATTTGTGAGCGTTTATTTGAAGTATTAGAGTACCTTAATGCCTTCCACTTAAACTTGAGTTTTCTCACTTGCTAGTTCACAAAAAGCGCCACAAACAACACAGTACCACGATCACCGATAGAGGAAACTTTTTGACTAGTTTATATAGTAAAAATGAGACTTTTAGCACTATTTATATTCGATTTTACACACTGAACGTTAAAAAGCGTATTGACGCAACGGCTTCCCCAACTACCCTCATGTGTGTGTGTGTAGGTACATTTTACTTGGATCCTGTACCACGTACTGAGGGTCATGATCGCCTATCTACTGTCCGGACTCGAACTAGAGCTGTACAGTGTACACGAGTATCACTATATCTTTTGATAAGTTTATTTAATTATGAGTCGTAATGCAGGTGGATAAAGTACATTTTGTTTGGATCCTGTACCACGTACAGGTCATGATCGCCTATCTACTGTCCGGACTCGAACTAGAGCTGTACAGTGTTCACGAGTATCACTATATCTTTTGGTGAGTTTATTTAGTTATGAGTCGTAATCCATGTGGATAAGGTACATTGCACTTGGATCCTGTACCACGTACTAAGGGTCATGATCGCCTATCTACTGTCCGGACTCGAACTAGAGCTCTACAGTGTTCACGAGTATCACTATATCTTTTGGTAAGTTTATTGAATTATGAATCGTAATTTAAGTGGATAAGATTCATTTTACTTGGTTCCTGTACCACGTACTAAGGGTCATAATCGCCTATCTACTGTCCGGACTAGAGCTGGAGTTGTACAGTGTTCACGAGTATCACTATATCTTTTGGTAAGTTTATTGAATTATGAGTCGTAATTCAAGTGGATAAGATTCATTTTACATGGTTCCTGTACCACGTACTAAGGGTCATGATCGCCTATCTACTGTCCGGACTAGAGCTGGAGTTGTACAGTGTACACGAGTATCACTATATCTTTTGGTAAGTTTATTGAATTATGAGTCGTAATTCAAGTGGATAAGATTCATTTTACTTGGTTCGTGTACCACGTACTAAGGGTCATAATCGCCTATCTCTGTCCGGACTCGAACTAGAGCTCTACAGTGTTCACGAGTATCACTATATCTTTTGGTGAGTTTATTTAATTATGAGTCGTAATACAGGTGGATAAACTACATTTTATTTGAATCCTGTACCACTTACTAAGGGTCATGATCGCCTATCTACTGTCCGGACTCGAACTAGAGCTCTACAGTGTTCACGAGTATCACTATATCTTTTGGTGAGTTTATTTAATTATGTACCGTGATACAACTGAATAAGGTTCATTTTACTTGGGTCCTGTATCACGTACTAAGGGTCATAATCGCCTATCTCTGTCCGGACTAGAGCTGGAGTTCTACAGTGTACACGAGTATCACTATATTATTATCTTTTGTGAGTTGTATTTAATAGAGTGTGACCTAGCTAGAAGGAAGGCATAGCTATAGTTCAATGTTTTGCGGCAACAATAGCCCAATGGTGTCGGTGTCAATCAGCCGATCCCAGACTTGCCAAGGGCCGGTAGTTTGACGAATCCCGTCACCGCTAAACTATCGTGGTGAACCCGTTCGTAACAACGCTAATGGGAATAATATAAGTGAACTGTTGTTCAGGTGCGCCAAATGTAACCTGTAAAAATGTTAATGTTCGGTCCAAACCTTTTTGTTGAAATCATTCGGCCCATAAAAAAGTACATCGAACAAAAAAAATCGGTTGAACGATAGTTTTAGTTAAGTTCGAAAGATGCATCTTTTAGTTATAAAACAATCAAATAGCACATACTAAACTTCTTCCAGGTATTTATACGAGTTCCTATACGGCTGGCTAGTGTCAGCGCTTGGCCGCGCTGAGACCTTGGCATTCGAAGGTGCCAAGCGCCAAGACGCCAAGCGAGCCGGCGCCAGGAAACAGAAGAAGAGGACCAGGCCGTATGCTAGGGAGGGCCTTATGTGCCAAGTCATGCAGAACATGTGCGGAGGTTACTATAAGGTTGGTTTCTTCTGCTTTTCTAAATTCTTTCTACCACTGTAAAAAAGCCTAAAACTTAGCCACTATTGCTAGCTAAGACGTTAGCGCATTATGCGCAAAGCGACATGATGCAATGCAAAACGGTTACTACAATATTGTTTTTTTCCAAGGCTGAGTTCTGACCGAAATTATAGGCAAAATAATTTTGTAGAACACGAGGCTTTAAAAATTTTGGACAGCCAACGTCAAGATCGGTATTGGATGGGTGACCGTTCACACATCATCACACAGTGGCATTTATGCTTGTGAAGAATCTACGTGCTTCGGAAGGCAATTAAATATTGGTCCTGGCCAGTGTCACTTGGTATTACGGATTTGTCACACTGGTGCGGTCTGCGGTCAGGTCAAAGTGAATGCAGCTTGCATAATGTATGATTACTTTTTTGATATGACCACAGACCGTATCCCTTATGGCAATGTGGCAGTATGGCAGTTACAAACTTTAGTCAAGAGGTCTGGGCCCAAGTAGTATGGCCTGTGTAACTAACGTTGCAGTGAGGTTTGTGCCCTGCCTGCACTAGGTTGCCTATAGGATTACTTTCCTTTTTTAGCGATTTTTATTATATTGCCACCCATAACCTAACGAAAATCTCTTATCAACAGGCACTGGTCGCGTTCAAATTACAAGGCAAGATCCGGCAGCCGCAGTCCGCGTTCGACAACGAGGCCGTCCGCTACAAGCACCGCTTCGCGCCGCTGTCCGTGCTCACGCCGCCGCAGGTGCACTACCACGAGTTCTGCGAGATGACGCAGCCGCTGCAGTGAGTGTTGTGTCAACTACCATCCATTCCAATTGCAATGCAGTCGCGTTCCAGCTGCAATGCAGTCGCGTTCCAGTTGCAAGGCAAGCCCGGCAGCCGCAGTCCGCGTTCGACAACGAGGCCGTCCGCTACAAGCACCGCTTCGCGCCGCTGTCCGTGCTCACGCCGCCGCAGGTGCACTACCACGAGTTCTGCGAGATGACGCAGCCGCTGCAGTGAGTGTTGTGTCAACTACCATCCATTCCAATTGCAATGCAGTCGCGTTCCAGCTGCAATGCAGTCGCGTTCCAGTTGCAAGGCAAGCCCGGCAGCCGCAGTCCGCGTTCGACAACGAGGCCGTCCGCTACAAGCACCGCTTCGCGCCGCTGTCCGTGCTCACGCCGCCGCAGGTGCACTACCACGAGTTCTGCGAGATGACGCAGCCGCTGCAGTGAGTGTTGTGTCAACTACCATCCATTCCAATTGCAATGCAGTCGCGTTCCAGCTGCAATGCAGTCGCGTTCCAGTTGCAAGGCAAGCCCGGCAGCCGCAGTCCGCGTTCGACAACGAGGCCGTCCGCTACAAGCACCGCTTCGCGCCGCTGTCCGTGCTCACGCCGCCGCAGGTGCACTACCACGAGTTCTGCGAGATGACGCAGCCGCTGCAGTGAGTGATGCATAAAACTACAATGATGCACACAACTCCGTCAGGATATTTAGTCAGTTACCAGAAGCAAATAGAAAATTTGGGCTACACTCTTGACAATGGTTGAAGAGGGCTGATGGTCGCATATTTCTTTTAGTCTTACGAGAAGAGTGAGGGTGGACCTATCACACAATCCATCACATTAATGTAATGTAAAGTTTTATTTGTGTCAAATCTGCCGAAAGAAAAATGCTAAAAGTTCATTTAAACAACCTCACATTGATTCCAGGTAAACCTGAAATTCTGCTCAAACTTTCTTCTAACTTCTGCCTAACGCTGTTTACGTAGTTTCTAGTATATTCCTCAGTTCTGGTCATGATAGTTATTGGGAGTAGCCCTGCTAGTTTAACAAACTGCGTCACGTGACTACATTTTTCTCAAAATGATGTTCTCACCGATGATTTCTTTGCAGATATGAAAACCCTGTGATACTGTACCTTGGAGGGTGCAAGCACTTTCAGCAAGCCAGGTCCCTTTTAGAAACTATTACAACGCCTGATCAAGAGGTAAGAAAACCATTTGTTTTTGTGTTATTGCTCTATAAATAACTAACGTAAATAAACAAGATAGGCTGAATTATTGTTTCTCATTTTAAAGCTGCTTTTATTTTGTTCCAGGTTTCGGATCTCCTAAAAGTAGCCAAAACTAATTTCGTAGTCCTAAAATTACTAGCCGGAGGTCACAAAAGGGACTCGACCACGCCCCCTGAATTCGATTTCTCCGCCCACAGACATTTCCCTATCATAAAACTAGTCTAATAGCTGTAAATAAGTTAAAACAATTGACGACTAATATTTTAATCAAGAGAACTGGCCAGTAAATAATATAAGACACTCTTTTTTGTAAAAGTATGTACAGTGGCAGGTTGACTTGGAAAAATTTAAATAGATGGCGCTAGTATAGTTGGCGGTCTTGTCAGCTGTCATTTGGGTCATTTGTTTTCTTTTGCGATGAAAAATAACCCGACAACAATGAAAAGGTTATAAGTTCCTTTATTTTCACATTTAACAGCGCTGGCTGTTCTATATCTCAAATTATTTTTTTCCATTCCCTAACACCAGAGATTTTTCCACTCTTTTCACTAAAATTGACAAAAATAAGTGTTTCAAATATACGAGACACAAAGTTAGCGTGACGTTTTATGACCTTCAGCTACACTAGCGTCATCTGGCGGGAACAAAAGCTAAAATTGCTGCCATTGTCACGACGACGGACATGTAAAAAGTCTGTCGCAGCCTCTTTAAAATTATTTACAATTTTCCCACAACTTTTTTATATAGTTTGCAAATACAAAGTACAATCATTGTGTGAAATAATTACGTTGTGCATCTGGATTTACCAATACTTTGTCTTACGATAATTTGATATCGACTAGTCTTGTATAATTGTCACAACATCACATAATTAGTAGTTACTATAGAGTTGCGTGAAAAACGAAATCCTAACTATTATGTATAAGATCTAATTAAAGATAATCTGAGCTAAATGTTGCTAAATACTATGTAAGAAGATAATAGTATAATAGTTTGCTTCCGCATCTCTGAAATTGATCTATTGAGTAATTGTAATAACTTGAACAATCAATAAAATTATTTATGTTATTCTAACATTAAAACCAAAGGATAAAATAGGTATTTTGATACTTTAAAATTAAAACTAGACGTCTTGTGTACGAATAAAAAAGCAGAAAATGACTGAAGTGTGACTAGCAATTTTATTTTTGTGAATAACATTATAAAAGATATATACGACTATACCGGGACGTAGCCCGTTGTAGAGGTTTATTTATAAATAAATAGAAAGAGATTTTAATCAAATTGTATTATAAAATCCATTCTTGTATCTTATAGATGTCTATGTCTTGAATATTTGTACATAAATGTGTGCATTAAAGGTATTTAATGGAGTAATTAAAATTCAGTTGTTTTTATTTCTTTACAATGTAAGTTCTCGAAATAATCGTGTAATATCACACAATACTTGGTAGGTATTCGTACTTGTATATGGAAGGGATTTGGAAATTCGTGGGACTTTATCAAGGATTTAATATGAGAAAAATAACGAAGCTAATGGATAATTTCTTTATTAAATTATGTAATTAAATAAATAATTTATATAGACTATCTCCAACAGTGGTTATGTGTGGATAACTCACGAATATTTTGGTATTTTAGTTTATTCTTCTTCCTCTGTATCCGCATCTGATACGTCCGTGTAACAATCCTGTTCTAGCGTTTTGACCTTCAAAAAGTCGGTTGTTTGGGGACCTGTAAAAGAAAATAGATTTTCAATACACTTAGGCTGGGTTGCACCTTCTTTCTTTGACTTTAAAAAACGTCAAAAATCTGTCAAACTGCATACAAAAACACCGGTTATCGTCAAAGTTACCGTCAAAGTTAGCTGGTGCAACTCAGCCTAAGCATAATTATGCTTTGTTCCCGTTGTCCTCAACAGGCTTGTGGGAATTTAATTTAATAATTTAAATTAAAATTATTGCTTTCGAAATGCGCTACTTATTTTGATGCGTAGATGTGACTGACGGTTTGTTAGGACTCAACCCATGCTAGGCAGATAAAAGATGCTCCATGTATTTATCCATACATATTAATGTACTTGACGTATGTACATTAGGTGACACCTTCGCCATTTTGATGAGCAAGCAGTTGTAGCATGTCAGTGGGCGTCGTAATTTGTGACAGGTTACGCAGATGACCAATGTATGAGTAGGCGCACACCGTTGATTTTTCGTCGGCCGATAGTTTAGTCGGGCAGTTGATCAGTATGGGCATGTATGGGAGTGCGCACACTACTACGATTCGATTTGGCCGATTCTTCATACAGTTTAAAATCGGGCACAACTATCGGCCAACTAAAAATCAACGGTGTGCGCCTACTCTAAATGTATTTGAATTTCGTGGCATGCTACATGTCGCGTGATACATCTCACGTGGTACCTTCGCATTCCATCTCACATAGATGGGCTAGAGATCCAGTTTGATGCACCACATTGTCGGTGTTGACACGTCAGGTAAATCGGCTACAGTTTCATGTATGTATGTAGATATGCATAATAACTATACTTGTAGCTAAGTATAATTTCTTGGCATGTTACGTGTCACTCACGTCTCACGTGGTATGTAGGTGTACTTAAGCGGATTATAAAAGATGACGCAACTCAATTAAAATAGAGAAACACGAGTCTACTCAAACTTACCTTCAGTGTACACGGTGTTCGCACTAAAGTCCTGTATGGGCGTGGGAGTGACAGGACGATTCTCTCCCGAAGCTTCGCCTTCCTCTGGGCCTTCTTCATCGTCGCTTTCTAAGAATATCTCTTCCTCCTCACATTCTTCTATCTGGAAAAAGTTTTACCTATTTGAAAAGAAGCAATCGTTTATTCGGATTGCGATTTGGAACACGTTATCACAAAAATGTTATTGAGGGCAGTGTGATGTAAACTTATTTTTGCATCTTGACTCCCCGCAGACTATAGTTTTTAATCGGCCGATAGCCCGATTCTAATTTGTATCACAGAATAAGTAATAGTTTTGTATGAAGAATTGGCCGATCCAAAATGCTCGCTTTCATATATCTCCATACTGATTAACAGCTCGATTCAACTATCGGCCAATTAAAAGTCGGTGGTCTGCGCCTATCCTAAATCTTTAACTGTGAAGACAAAAATACCTGTATATCAAAAGACTGCTGTTTATTTTTGAAGTCGTGGAGCGCAGAAGATGACATTCTCCTGACACTGGGCGGGTACTTGCTAGGAGATGGGGTTCCTTCAGCTGGGCCGCCCTCGTTGACGTGGTACCCCATTTCTAGGTTTAGGGGCAGGTTGGGGTTCCCTGACAACCTACGGCGGCGCAGCGTGCATTCGGGTTCGTCTGTCATGTTCTGAAAAAAAGCGAATACAGAATTGGCTTAGCGAATAATTTCTGGTGGACGGGAACCCGTAGAGCTGAAGGCCGTTGCGGCAGAAAAGTTATCAAATGGCGATCATGGGCCGACAGAAGTATAAAGTACCTAGTGTGTGTCCCATTCGGTGGACCGATGATCTGGTGAAGGTTGCGGGAACCACCTGGATGCGGCCAACGACGCAGTACCGGTCGTTGTGGAAACCCTTGGGGTAAGCCTTTGTCCAGCAGTGGATGTCATTTAGCTGATATGAACAAAATTTATAGAACCTTCAAAGCAGTTTTTAAATCCTCCAGTGGCGACCATGAACCAGAAGTAGGCAGGCATCCCGCTCGGTGGACTGACAATCTAGTGAAGATCTCACGAAGCCCCTGGATGAAGGCAGCACAGGGCTGGTGGTTGTTGAAATCTTTGAAGAACTGATCGTCGTGGAAATCCTTTATTTTGCAGTAAACATTCCGTGGCTGAAACGAACGAATTTGGAACGGAAACTTACCGAAAATTCTCTGTGATTTCGTAAGTGAAACTTAATTGAATGTCACTATTTCAGCAATTTCGGAGGTGTGTGAAAACGGGCGAGCACGGTTAAGGGGACTGTGTAAGTAGTCCGAGGCTGGGACGTTTGCGGGCGAAGCCATACAATTTTAATCTGCAGTGTTTTGTTTCAGGGAAGTGAAACGTTTTTCTAATATCGTCATATATTTATTCGTGGTCTTCATAATGTAGTGTAGGTCCTTTTCAGGACACCTATTTTATACTTAGGGTCTGTATTCAGTTCAAAATATTATGAACGTTAAATGAAAAGCGAATTACGCTAATTAAAATTACTTAGTACATAAGTGTTTCATCTTTCCATTCTGAAAGGAATAGGTAGCCCTGCTATGGTAGGTATTAACATATAGAGAAACACAAATTCTTTATTATGTCGAAAGTAGAGTACCTACATTAATTAACAAGTTAGTAAATAAGCCATTTAGCAATAATTTATAATGTTCAGTTTTCAGGAGAGTTTTGTACCTAACATTATAATTATCTAGACATTTTAGGTAAATTTTAAATAGAAATATTCAGTTTTCTTTTAGCATCCGAGGTTGACCACCCCTGCCACTTGTGAGGATTCCGCGGGTACTTATGTATGTCATATACTTAACGTACTTTAATATTTTGTCACGTGCCCACCTAAAAATATATTTCGGTAATACGAATTAGGTGCACATGGAAAAGGCTTGTGTGTATTATGACTTACCTACTTAATGTTTTTAATAATATTGAATAAATATTTTCGATTTTATATCGTATTTTAGTCTTTAGATAAAAGTCTATTATTAGTATAGAAAAAGTTCTATACTATTCCGTGATAGCTTCGTTATAATTATCTCGATTAAGATCCGACACCTATTCCTTACTTTACCTAGCTCTCTGTAGCTATTCGTATATTATGTAGTTTACATTGTCGTTCCAAGCATCCTTTAGGCACTAAAATTATTTTAAGCTTGATTAAAAACGAGTAAACTTAAAGTTGCAAAATATTTTCTGGCATATCGAAATTAACATTCCACAAATGTGGCTTAACGTGATATAATCTTTGAACTTATAAATAGTTTCTAAAGTTAAATAACTACCAAAACCATCTTATCTAGTAAATAAAACCTTAAATCCTACGAAATTATCTCTAAAACTGCCTGACCAGATCCTAATAAGTGCGAATAGTCTTAAGGCTCGGTTTCCACTAAGGCAGAGTGAAGCGGAGAAGAGCGGCGAAATGTCGGGTGTACGAATTTTTCTATAGTATTTCTCAGCGGCTGCGGCGCGGCGCGGAGAGCTGTGCGGAGCGGAGAAGATAATGTGAAAATAATGAAATATAATTCTAGGTCTTGTTGATATGCAGTTAAGGTTAGTGTCCGTGACTTCCACTCGGCATGGGTGACACTGAAGGGTCGCGGCCTTCCCCACCATGGGCCACGGCAATGCTGAGTGGAGTCCCATTCCGATAGGCATCGCTGTTGCGACAGGGTAGCACTGCTCAGTTAACTTTTTATTTCCTTGAAATATTTAAGTGCTTTTTTTCTCTTTTTTAGGGTTCCGTACCTCAAAAGGAAAAAACGGAACCCTTATAGGATCACTTGGTTGTCCGTCTGTCTGTCTGTCAAGACCCTTTATCTCAAGAACGCGTGGACGTATCAAGCTGAAATTCACATGAAATACTCAGGTCTATTGTCCCTTTAAGCTGTGAAAATATCAAACTTCTAAGCCAAGCCAATCAAAAGATACAGCCGATTATGTCGATATTTTCAACAAATTTTCGACACTCGCAAAGGAATCAAAACCTACAGGATACTTCCCGTAAACTCAGAATCTTGAAATTTGGCATGAAGCATTGTCATATAATGCAAATATAGGAAAAACTGCGAAAATCACATTTTTTTAGTTATATAATATAATAAAAATATTTTAATAAAATGAAACTTACTACCTTATTTCTCACGAACGAATAAAGGTATCAAATTGAAATTTATACCAAATACCTAGCCAGCCGCTGCTCGAGCGCGTCCATCCGCGCCGCGCCGGCCGAGGCGCCGCTCTGCACGGCGAGGTTGATCACGTGCAGGCGCTGCTCGACGGCTCCGACCTTCTCCTCGCAGCGGATCACCCGGCCCGTCAGCTCCCGTATCTCGCCGTACACGTCGTCGATCCGGGTGTGCATGGCCCGTACCTCCTCCCTGAATTGCCTCATCTCAAGGACGAAGGCGTGGAAGTCGGGCATCTCTACAGTCGCGTTGTGCGCGGTGTCGTCTAACGCCGGCCCCTCAAGCATGGAGACGTCCAGGCCGACGGGGCTCATGGAGGAGGCGCCCCGCCGCAGCGTGACGCCGTCGTCGACAGCGGCCCGGACCGGCGTGTCCGTATTGTCGCGCTTGGGCTGCGCGCTGACGCAGGCGACGCACCGCCACCGGTCCCTATGCTCCCCGACCAGCGTGCCATGGAAGCGCTGCTCAGTAACGCCGGCGCACACCAAATCGTAGTGTTTTTTGCATGTATGGCACGACAAACACCTCCGCCTGTCCTCAATCTTGCGGAAACATCCGCCACAAGTTTTGTTTTTAGGTGACATGTTTTTATGTGAATGTAAACAAAAACGAATAAACGATTGTAGTGATGTGTGTTTAACTTAGTGTAGCTTCAAAGCCCAGTCTTTGTGTTGTATTTGTGAGCGTTTATTTGAAGTATTAGAGTACCTTAATGCCTTCCACTTAAACTTGAGTTTTCTCACTTGCTAGTTCACAAAAAGCGCCACAAACAACACAGTACCACGATCACCGATAGAGGAAACTTTTTGACTAGTTTATATAGTAAAAATGAGACTTTTAGCACTATTTATATTCGATTTTACACACTGAACGTTAAAAAGCGTATTGACGCAACGGCTTCCCCAACTACCCTCATGTGTGTGTGTGTAGGTACATTTTACTTGGATCCTGTACCACGTACTGAGGGTCATGATCGCCTATCTACTGTCCGGACTCGAACTAGAGCTGTACAGTGTACACGAGTATCACTATATCTTTTGATAAGTTTATTTAATTATGAGTCGTAATGCAGGTGGATAAAGTACATTTTGTTTGGATCCTGTACCACGTACAGGTCATGATCGCCTATCTACTGTCCGGACTCGAACTAGAGCTGTACAGTGTTCACGAGTATCACTATATCTTTTGGTGAGTTTATTTAGTTATGAGTCGTAATCCATGTGGATAAGGTACATTGCACTTGGATCCTGTACCACGTACTAAGGGTCATGATCGCCTATCTACTGTCCGGACTCGAACTAGAGCTCTACAGTGTTCACGAGTATCACTATATCTTTTGGTAAGTTTATTGAATTATGAATCGTAATTTAAGTGGATAAGATTCATTTTACTTGGTTCCTGTACCACGTACTAAGGGTCATAATCGCCTATCTACTGTCCGGACTAGAGCTGGAGTTGTACAGTGTTCACGAGTATCACTATATCTTTTGGTAAGTTTATTGAATTATGAGTCGTAATTCAAGTGGATAAGATTCATTTTACATGGTTCCTGTACCACGTACTAAGGGTCATGATCGCCTATCTACTGTCCGGACTAGAGCTGGAGTTGTACAGTNTATATAATATAATAAAAATATTTTAATAAAATGAAACTTACTACCTTATTTCTCACGAACGAATAAAGGTATCAAATTGAAATTTATACCAAATACCTAGGTTTATTGTACCTTTAAACAGTGAAAAAATCAAACTTCTAAATTAACGCGATCAAAAGATACAGCAGTTTATACCGACACCTTAGACGAATTTCCGTCACACGCTAGGGAATCAAAACCTACAAGGTACTTCCCGTGACCTCAGAATCTTGAAATTCGGCACGAAGCAACGTTATATAGTACAGATAAAGGAAAAATTGCGAAAATGATAAATTTGAAGTTACATAAAATATTAAAATATTATTTTTGCTTACATGACATAAAATATTATTATTTCTGAATGATGACTATAAAATGTTGTAAATAAATAACTTTAATAAAAGAACTTTTACAAGGTACTGGCCTACTATTTTAGTTATATTATAAAATAAAAAATATTAACTATGTTGACTCTCACGAAATTACCACAACTATGATTGTTCTAAACTGAACGGTTTGCGCGAGAGTCACTTCCAAAGTATTAAAATGTGTCCCTGTAAGTTCCAAAATAAGATAATATTAAAACTAAAAAAAATATATGATGTGCATTACGCATTACCTACCATGCAATTGGTTTGAACGATATCTAGTAAGTAATTTGATTTAATACGTCATAAATTGTAAACCGCTACGTTTGTACGGCGGAACCCTCGGTGTGCGAGTCCGACTCGCACTTGGCCGGTTTTTTCGTATAAGGACCTTAACTAATAGTGATGTTCATCATAATAAATGTTTTTTACTTTCTTTCTTTCTTAACTGGTTATTCGAAACACTTCTCTGCTCCGCACCGCTCTGCTCAATCTTGGTGGAGACCGAGCCTTATGCAGGCTGTTCACTAATTGACGCAGCCTAGATGTCGCGAGGTCAGTCGCCATGTTTACTATAAATTGATATTTTATCACTATGTCACTGCTAACTAGTCTTTACTAGGCATGCATAATGAACCTGTAATTTGTCGCTTTTACGCTATTTGATAAAACAAAGTTGTTAGAGTCTAAGTTAAACTATCTGTACTATAGGTATGATGTCAGTATTGGTAACACTCGATCCTCTAGCTAGAGACATTTAAATTTTTAGAGACGGCTGTGGGTGCTATTAGTTTCACGGTGAAATGTCAACGGGGTTGTCCGTCATTCATAAAATACTCTTAAATGCCAATTTGATAGAGAACTGAATCTAAATATCTGAGACCCTACCTTTGAACTGACTCTACAGCGTACCTATAGGATATCTATTAGAACACTCAGATGAACAACTATAATCCCAACTTTCTTTCATTAAATCCTGAACAACATGGATCTCGTTTTGAATCACCATCCACCATGAAATGGAAGTACCTATTAACAAACATAGACAGTTATACCTAGCTACTTAGTGCAAAATAGGGCCTTAAGTTGCATGCCTTGGCAAAGACCTAGTCTATGTTTAAGTAGAAATGTAATGTAGGTCAATATTCAACCAACTATTCGAAGTATTCTAGATGCTAGGACCATAAACATTGATATCTTGATTTCGGCGAGTACTCATACGTCAAACTTTATAAATATGAAAAAAAAAAAAACACCTTACTGATTAACTAGCCATGATCTTACGCTGCATCATCGACCATGCCTCTCCTAATTGGAAATAGGTCGACAAGTAATGATAATGATTTGTAAAGTATTGGCTTCCGTTATTCCGGCTTGATTTCCTTCGGGCCTGGTATAAAAGTGCCTGCCGGTGGCCGTATGTAGTACTTTAAGGAGCTTACTCGAAGTATTACCACATCCAAAATGAGGCCCTTTCTGTTTCTGTGCTTGGTTATGGCTGTAGCCGGTATGGATGGGCATGTAAGTAATTTATTTTTGTTATACTGGGTGTAATGAATCGGTTAATAAGAAAATGATCTTACTTTAAATTCTGGCTACTACCTACCACTTACCACACGATCGATATCAGGAAACCCTATATTCAAATCGTAATTATTCATAATAATTCTACAATTAACTTTGAACATAAGTAGGTACTTACAATTCGTAGGAAGTAGTATAGTACCAACTTTTAGTTGTTGATTAATATTAGTGGGAGTTTTTTTAAATTCCCTTAATGTACCGTGCCTTTTGTGTGTTCCTTTTTTTTCTAGTTTTGTATGACGAACTAAAGTTTTATTTATTTATTCTGTCTTTTTTTCAGAATGTCCAGCTATCCCAGGCTCAAAAAGACAAGGTCCACCAATACACGATGCAGTGCATCAAAGAGAGTGGTGTCAAACCCGACATCATATCCGAGGCCAAGAAAGGTCACTTCACCGACGACGAAGGTCTCAAGAAGTTCACCTTGTGCTTCTTCCAAAAGTCTGGAATAGTTGACAGCCACGGAAAATTGAATGTGGAGACTGCTCTTGCAAAGTTGCCACCCGGTATCAATAAGGTTGATGCTATGAAACTTCTAGAAGAATGTAAGAAGAAAACTGGGAAAGACGCAGCAGATACAGCTTTTGAGGTCTTCAAATGCTATTCGAGGGGAACCAAAACACATATCTTGGTGTAAAAAATATTTATCCTTTTAGTCAAGCAGGCAATTCCATGAGGCATCCATTGTAAAAATCTTATTATATTTATTCCGCCTTAGTTAAACATAGAGCATATTATATAATGCCATGTTATTTGTTATTACTTATTTATTTAATTAATTAATTAATTATTAAAATAATGTAAATTAAATCACTTTATTAATGCAACAACCTCTTTTTATTCATCCAATAAAATATTACAATCAGATTAATTTATATGCAAATATTAAGATAATAAATTGATAGGTAACATAAATGATTAGTCATATTAATTAGATACCTATCACAAAGTTTTTCTCATTATGTTATCGTCTTTATAATGTCTATAAATTAACCGATTTTCAACAATTAATCCGGGGTTTGTTAAGCTCTTTGCATGTTCTACATAATTATTATTATGAGACACTATAAACAACGCCACGCCATATTTTTGGATGATAAAGAATATTTTTAGCTAACTTTAAAATAATTGATGATTTGTTTTTCAAACGCAGTTCAATTTAAAATTATTTGATCCTATAATAGCGATCATTCTAGTCACATAGGATTATGACTATGATAATATTATTATAATACGAGCTTCCTCATTGTGGATAAAAGAAAATTGCTCATAATTAATGAGGCTTGTCAATTAAGTAATTCAAAAAAAAAATCAAACTAAGAACAAACATGAAAGTTTCTAAAGGTAAAGTGCATATTAATAGGTCAATTTTTCTCGACAACTTAACATAATAGAAAAATTAATTGTTATGGTATAAAAGTGCATGTCGGCAGCATATTTACATTGGTATTCGCCTCGAAGTATTCCAACATTTAATATGAGGTCAATAATAATTCTGATTTTGTGTCCAATTATCGCCTTAGCTGGTTTAAATCCGCATGTAAATAATTTATTGATTTCATTTATTTAATGTTTTTTTTTATTTATAAATAATATGTAATTGCAATTGATACAAATACATTTTATGTATAGAACTGTGGTCAAACCACTGTCAAAGACCGAGAACAGCACAGCTAAACATTGGGCACCTTACGTAGAGTGTTAAGATAAGGTGCTATTTACAGTAACAAAAGTATAATGAATTTATCTAATGTTTATAGAAACTTACGCTAAATCTAGGTATCGATCTAAGAACTCAGAAGAAAACCAATTGGGGGCTTGTCATTTCAGAAACAAAAAATAAAATGTGTCCATTTCCCGACTGTAGGCAGACTTTCCCAACGCACTTGCCGCATGTTGAATACCCCTGGAAAATGCATCGCAGCTATAACGAATAATAAATAAAATTAAAGCCTCAAAATCGGTCAAAGCTGTACGAATTTACACACAACTTATTTATTCTGGCATAGCGCAGCCCATCGCGTCACTGCGGGCAATGCATATTTTATATCGCCGCTGCATCGGCACGTGAAATCATCGGACTCGCTTTCATTTCAATTTCCATGTTTGCCCGCTCTTCGAATCCATATATTTTACCATGGGTGTTTGTTCCACCTATATTTTTACCATTTGTTTAATAGTAGGAATATCAATAAATTCTATGCAGGAAATAGAAAATTGCCCGGTGCACAATATTTGTCCAATAACTGAAATACCACTATTGAAAAGAGCCGAGTTCTTCAGTTGCTCTTGCAATGGAAATTGCAAACTATAACACCTACAAACTTCAAAGGCAGGTAGGTTCCTTATAGTAGGATGTCTACACCATATAAGGAGGTCCTTAGCAGGTGCTAAGAACGGATTTTCGGAAACTCCACTCCAACGTCCAAAACGGGATCTACGCGTTAAACATGTTAGCTCGTACATCTAATTATAGTCATTTCTATTTTTCAAATTTTTAGCTCGTCGAAGTGGACCCAGAAATTGCGGCTGGCATCATCGAGATTAGCGAGCAGTGCATTGCTGATGTTGGAGTAGATCCAGAGGTTATGGCTATATTGAGAAGGACAGAAGTACCAGACACCAACCAGTACGAGAGAGTTCCAGAGTTTGTTTACTGCGCGTACAATAGATGTGGCTTATGCGAAGATAATGGCCGAGTCAAAATTGACAAAATACTTATTAGATATTTATCCTAGCAGTTCGGATAAAGAAGCCATAAGAAAGCTGATGGTTGATTGTGACAAAATGGGGAATGATCCGATAGATACCATTTTTAAATACGTAAAATGCTTCTATGGGATCACCCCTGAGAAACTTGTATTTTGATCCAGGATTGTAGAAAAGTAGGTAGTAGTTTGATTAGTTACTAAATAAACATAGAGAGAAATAAATAAGGGTGTAGTTTTATTTACGATAGTTATGAATACCCATCGGCACAATCCATTCCATTTTATTTCTTCATACAAGCTGAAAAAACAGAAATAAGTTTTAATTAGTACCTTAGGCACAGACGAGTATAATTATCAGAATAAACACTGGCCTCTTGTTTCTTATGTTTTTGTATTAGGTACGTCTTTGTAACAACAATAATGTAATGTTGACCATCTTATTTCGAAAATTGCTGTTATATTTTTATCTAGACGCACCGATCGAGTAATTATCCTTATGACGGAGGCAACTAACGGAAAAAGCATGGAAGAAGCTCTATAAAATAACTACCTAACTTATAGATTTGTAAAGATTTCTGCCGCCAAATCGGCGTGTTAAATCTTGCGAAATTTTAACATTGTCTGCTGGTTTAAATATTATTTTATTTAAACTTTAATGTCACATAAATTGTAGGTGAACTTAGTGCCATAGGGTATTCTCTGCTAATTGACCGTCAGATTAAATGAAATGAGGAGAAACAATTGTTACATTGTGGTGATGTTTCCATATAATAATTAATATGAGTCGGAGGAAACTCTGGTTTTATTTTTAAAAACACATCATTAGGTGGTTATACCATATTCCCTACATTATGGGTTTCTTTTATTACGTACGCATGAACTAGACGATGTTTCTATGCTTTTGTTCGTTTACTCAACTTGACTCTTGGGACTAGTATAAAGGTTATAAGTGGATCAGTTGGAAGTTCATTTCGCTAAAGACTATTGTAGCAACTTATTTACTAAGTAACTACGACTAGTTATTGTTGTAAAATGTTTCGTATAGCAACGTTATTGGTGTTATTATGTGTGGGATATTTAACTGCTGAAAAGGTTTGTTTTTATCTATTTATTGTAATTCTTAGTTTAAAAGTGCACAAGAGATCCTGCCGGTTTTTCGTTTTTTATACTGAGGACATTTTGAGTGATACGAGAACTTTTGCAGAAATATACTGCCTGCCTGTGTTTTTGATGAGGTTTTGCATTTATTCATTTGTGAAAAGTTTGATTTGGACTATCCAATATTAGTCTTTTGTCGACAAACACCAACGATAAGTACCTACTTAGAATCTATAGTAACTATCTTGTGCGGGGCTACGCATAAGCGTACTAGTGCACGTCGATCCATTGGGATCTTTGGTGACATACTTTTATTCCTTCTCATCCACAAAAATTGAATCAAGTGCTTGGGTGAGAGGGACCTGTATTAAAGTACTTAGCCTAGGCGCAGACCACCAACTTTTAGTTGGCCGATAGTTGGGCCCGACTCTAATTTACATGAAGAATCGGCCGATACCAAATCGGTGTAATGTGCGCACTTTTATACATCTCCATACTGATCAACAGCCTGACTATCTAACAGATAGCTATCGGCCAACTAAAAATCGGTGGCCTGCGTCTAGGCTTAGCATACTAAAACATGTTTGTACGACATACTTATTTACTTAGTAACGTAATTAATTAGTGGGTATTTACATTGTTAGGTATAGGTAAACGTAAACCGTTCTGCTTTCTTGGAAATTGTCGTAATTACACTGATTAACTCCGTCATTATCTTAGGCTGAGTTGCACCATCTTACTATAACAGTAACCGGCGTTTTTTGTATGGAGCTTGACCGATTTTTGACGTTTGTTAAAGTTAAAGCAAGATGGTGCAACTCAGCCTTAATAAAGAGGACACACGCGTAGGTGGAAACAGAATGAGAATCCTTGGATTTTCATTCTAAGACAATATCAGTTACTTAGCTGTAACTTTACTAATTATTAGGAAAATTGAAAGTTGTTATAGCAAAGCAAAACAGTATTATATGGAGAAACGGTTGTCTTTTTCTTAACACTATTAAAAATGGGCATAAGCTGAAAAAATTCAATAGAGATTTCTACTTAGAAACAGATATTTTATATTTACTTCTATGTTCAGTATTACAGCGGAAATTAAGCTTTTAGTTAGTAGGCCTAGTAAAGTAAATAACTTACGAGTATATTTTCCTTCGAAAACAAACCCATATCATCGACTATTTCTTGTTTTACAGCCAGTCGTTCACTTGGACTCCGAGAAGATGGTCGAAATATTACCACAGGTGATACAATGCGTCGCCGAGACTGGGGTCAACATTGAAGCTCTAGAAAAACTCCGTTTAGGGGTCCCTGGCGAGATAAAAGACCCTAACCTCCCCAAATTCGCCCATTGCGCCTTTCTAAAAACGGGATACAGTCATGAAAATGGCCGCGCAAAGGTGGACAAAGTTCTAAAACTGTTCCCTGCTGGTGATTATAAAGCGGCTCTGAAGAAGCACGTGCAAGAATGCGACAATGATGGAAAGGACCCAGTGGATACTACGTACCAATTCTTGAAGTGTTTATACATGAAATCGCCAGTGATAGTAAGGTTTTGATAAAAAAAATTTTTTTGATTCGTAGTAATTTTGGCATCTACAACATACATACCAAGTAAACAGTGAAATCTATATGGTCGCAGTAACAAAATGTACTTTAGTCTGTTTGTGTTGTTGACTATAATTTAGTATCTTTCTTTTATACAGTAGATCCAGAGCACAGTAACAAGCATGAAAATAAACAATGTTATTTCTAAATTGAAAAATCTCTTTATTGAATCTACTTAAAACTAGATTAATCACTAATATAATAAAGGCAAAGCCTAATATTTATGTTATTAGGTATTTGTACAATCCATTGTTAAATAAATTGAAATGTCTGTACGAGTGTGAATAAAGGTAAACAAAACATACTTCATAATACTACTTCGTAGTCATTCGAGATAACTAGGTAAATTATTATTAATTATTTTACTATTTATGTATTTTTATCAGATAAACAGTTCCCAACCTGGTAACTTTGGACAACAAGGGGTGTAACATAAATGATTTCTTGTGTGTCATTTTTTTTAAATATTAGTAAACAGTTTAAGCGTTTGTACTAATATAAAGTTGCGAGTATCACATCAGTACCTATTTGTGTAGGTTGGGGTAGTCCTATGTTCAGCAGTGGACGTCCTATGGCTGAAATGTAGATGATGATTTTATAGGTATTTCAGAAACTTTACGATAACACTTGCTGCTGAGAAAGAATGCTAAAAACACCAGCTTTCTAAAACACTAGTTTTAACACCGAGTTTCTCTTATCTCCGGTTCTGAAGAATAACTATCATCATCCGAAAAGTCTCTTGTTCCATACCCATTCAATTGTTTTACGTTCACAGAACTATTATCGGTCTCATTACCCTCATCGTAACTCGACATGTCATCCAAAGTGGATTCGTAAGCATACGAATTATTAGAAGAGGTATCTCCAAGAATATTGTTTCTGATATCGTAGTACCGCGTTCGATCTTCGATTCTGTAGAAGTCCAAGCTGTTTTCTTTTCTGATTAGATTGAAGTTTTCGTCAAGCGGAACGAAGTAGGTTTTTATGTAGCCGGCGCCTTTCACGAAGGTTTCGCCGCGGTAGGTCGTGAGGATACCGCATTCGTCCAGGATGATAGCTGTGTTTTCTGTAACCTGCGAAGAAAAGTTTAACCAAATTCAAAAATAGTAGATTTGAAACCGACATTTCGGAGGACGAGCATTTATTGAAGAAAACACAACACTAAGTTATTAAAATCGCACTTTTAGAGGCTTTTAGTTGATTTTTTTTAATGTTAAAATATTTTAAAAATGTAATTATACTGTTTTGTGTTAATATCATGCTAATTGAATTCATAAAATTGCTGTAACTATTTTCAATCACATGGAAATCATTTTAATTAGTGATGGTAATTAATTAATGTTTTTTTGTTACATGATATTGACTTTGCTGGTGTAGAAATATATTTATTTATAATTCCGCTTTGAAATACACTCAGACAAACAATGCAAAAAAAAAAAACAATAATATTTCAAACAGCAGAATTTTAAAACACAATAAACTTACTTGAATTTTACCCGTTTCACCAGTGGAGTCCATCCTAGAGGCCATGTTGACGGCGTGCCCCCATATATCATAGAGCGGCTTGAGCGACCCGACCACCCCCGCCGCGACCTTCCCGTTGGAAATGCCTGTTACACAGACAAATTCAGCCATGTGGAGTTTACAGAACATTGTGTGGATAAATCAAAAGCAGAATGTAGTCGCAAACATGCACTTTTAACTTTGAACTAATTTTCTTATTGCAAACACTTTACTATTTTATTTTAATTTCAAATATAAAAAAATAACATTGTACTAGACAAGTAACTCGTGTAGATTTTTCACGATTTTGGAAGCCGATCCTTTAGTACCACTAATATAAAGCCAGCAGAGAAACGCAACATTTTCATCTTCGAGTCTAAATTGACGGCTAAAACAGGTGTATCTAATTGTATGGAAAAGTAATTACCTATTGAGTCAGACTGTAGTCACACCGGTTGAATACAGCGCTTTAGAAATAATAATAATTAATCATTAAATTCAACAAGATACAAGAACACAGATCATAATTCCAATTCATACCGATTCTAAGATTCAGTCCTTCAAAACTCTGGAAGGAGCCTCTATTGAACTTCTGCAGCTGCATCATCATGGCTGCCGCGAACTCCACCATTGTCAGCACAATGGCTTTATCATACGGGCTGTTCTGGCCTCCATATGTGGAGATGTTCGACGAGGAGTTGAGGGAATCCCGCCTGCTGGGGTCCAGGCCGCAAGCGGCCATGTACGACATGCCCGCTACTTTAATCTTCTCCACTTTGTATATGGATTCACCTGTGAGAAGTAGCTGAAAGCCAAACATTTTCAATAATAAGGAAGATCTAAACTTGAAAGTACTAGAACTTATAAAGTGTCTAGGCCTAGCCTAGGTGATACCTCGCTTTTCTGGATTACGTAGCCACTATATTTATAAAAAACTTATGCTCAAACAAAATATCATTTTTTTGCTATCAAAAGATTGATATTCCCTGCCTATCTAAATGTCTACTAGCACAACCCCAAGGCACGAAAGAAGCAGCTCCTGCTCACACAAATAGAAAAATAATACGCACTTGGTACTTACTCTGTCAAAATCAGAAATAACTTCATCTAGAATCCTTAGCACGAACTTGTCACTCATATCCACATCGTTGTCCAGGCCCAGCTTGTGGTCGATCAATGAGGCGAACATCACCGCCACGTTGTCGTAGTTCTCGTAGTACAACTCGTCGATGGATCGGTTCAGGTTGAGGTAGACTTGCACTGTGTAAAAGATAGATAATATGTTCTTAGATATTTTAGTACACCAGAAAGTGTGTAACACTGTGTAGTGTGTGTAGTGTATGCACGACAAAATATCACTTTTACATTAATAGAACTTACCAACATGAGCTGGAAGTATATTCTCCAACAACATATTATTGACCTTCAACATAGTCTCGGCCTCCTGCTGCTCCTCATTGAGCTGAATCTGCCACAGATTATCCAACCTGTTCCTATACTCTGTCGTCCGATCGATCCAGTACAAAGCAATGGTTATGAACACCACAGACAATGTGTGAGACACTCGAGGGTCGAGACCAACGTTCCAGGTTACATCTTCCGCAAATAGTGCGGTTTTGACTTCCCATACTACCCACAGGTAGAAGGTGGTCATCGCGCCAGCCATGATCCATTTAAAGACGAAGAACACTCTGCTGAATAGGAAGTTGAGGAGCAAAGCTAAGCCCCAACACTGTGTGACATGCTGAAAAGAAGTAGAAAACGTATTTGAACAGTGGATTAAGGGGAAAGGCAAAAGGCTACTACTACTACTACTACCTAGTCGTTCATTTATTCTTATCAGAGTCAACTAGAGTTTACACTTTCGGTTTCAGCGCCTTAAAATAGCTGCCAAGTATTGAAAAGCATATAGCTGTAACTGTAAACAGCTTGATTACCATCAATTGAGATTAAAGAGACAAAGTCATAATAAAGCTTTCTAGGTTTCTGTTTGAGTTAAAAGCGCCATTCTAAAAGTTAAACCAAAATTTAAAATAAAAAAATAGTGATTACCCACGACGAGACGCAGTTCGACAGCACAGTTTCAGTCGAATAAGGATCATCCACCTCTACTTCTGAACATCCTATGACGTTCATGGCAGACGTAGCGCCCAATCCCATGCCGATGACCAAATAGATCCCTGCCCTTATCTTGGCTGATCTGATGATGCTGGCAGAACAATCGTATATGTATCTGAGGAACTTGTTTCTAGGCTCTTCGACGCCCTTGTATTTTGTCCATAAGAAGTGGAACCACGCGAGAGGCTGCATCAGGATCAACATAATCATCAGAAATGAGAATACGCTCCATGTGTACCATTGAAATCCTCTGAACCTGAAATACGTGACATTTAATATTGTTAAACTTAAAGTAAGATTAGGTATCTTGATTTAGTTCAGTGTATAAAAAATAGGAAGAAAACCTTAGGTATTTGTATTCTGGCCCTGAAAAACCAATTAGATATTTTGTAATAATTATGTAGGTATAAATTACTCAATTGAGTGGGAAAACGAGTGATCCCATAGGTTTGTACCTATTGTCGTACAAAATTCAAGGAAGGAAAACGCGCGATAACTCGTTATATGTTTTTTTTTTAATTATAATTTGGGCTTTTCGAGGTCAGCAAGAGCGCGGCTTTATCGGTTTATGAGTTGTTCTCGCTTACGTAATTTGGAATTTTGCTGAAAGATTTTAGGCTAATTTTTCACTATGTAATTTATGTGGGTAGCTTTTGATGTACGTTTATTACACCATTAAATAACTAATTACCTACCAGTTGTTAGTCAGTCCATTTATCAACAGGATCAATATGAAGATGATGAGGCAGCACAATATGTAGTACTTGAACAGTGGATCTGGAAGCAACAGGAATGCCTTCTCCGTGGAGTACTTTTTGTACATCAGTGTGAACCGATTCAACCTTGACTCCTTTTGGAACTGAACCCTGGAAATAAGTTATTGGAAATGTTTTATTCTTGAATAAACAGTGAATTGTTAATCATGCTTAGGGTGAAAGAATTGAATCTATTGAATAAGTTATATCTTGAAATTCCTTAGATCTTGAGTATAATAGTATCTTAGTGAAGTTTTCATATTTAATTTTTGTTTATAAATCAATATGTCCCACACCCACACTAGGTCAAAAGAGCGTTCCACGGTTGAAGGGTGAAAATCTAAATAACAAAATTGAATTGTTTTGAGTCTCATGAAAAAGAACTGTATTTTCTATATATTTAAAAAAAAAATGGTTCCAACGTACTTTCCATTTGTCATATCTTCGATCTCCTTAGCCATTTGCGCGTCTGCGGCCTTCAGCATTTGCTGGTATTCCACGAGATTTTCATCCATGAACGTTGTGGTCCTTCTCTGAGTACCCACTGAACTTCTATTTTCCGATCGCTACTGGAAATACGGAGAAAATACAACATTACTGGTATTGCTGGTTCAAATGTATTAAAGTAAATAAAAATAGGTCAAGTACGACTTTGACTAACATACGAAAGGTCTTATTTTCTTATCCAAAATCTTAGGAACCTCTTAATTGAAAGGCCAAGGACTGATCCCATAAACGGAAAAATCCTTGCTCTTTTTTGTGCTTTTTGCCTCAATAACAATATGAGAATTTGGTTAGTTACTTACTCTAGCGCTGGTGTTTTTGGTCATGATTTTGTTGATTCCAACAGATGCTCTTCTGAATGGTTTGTACTCGAGTGGCTGAAAATACGACGTGTGACATTAATAAGCATTTATTTTAGAAGTTCTCTGACTCTCAGGATCGACTCTAGCTAGAATGATAATCGTTTTCATAGACATAATTAGTGTTTTGTATTATTTACTGCAAAATAATTTATCAGTTGATTTGCTTATTTGTTTCGGATAGATAAGTGGCATAGACATAGATTAATAATTGACAGCCTAAAATTATCTAAAATATTAGTAGAAACTTACCCGTGCAGGTCTTGACAAAAGGAACGTTTCCAATTTGTTCTTTATGATGCACGGATCGCTCTGCGAAGCAAAGTTTGGCTCGATGATGTACTCGCGCGCATAGTCCAGTATCAGTTCCAGTGTTTGTTTTGTTACGTGCACTTTGCTGAAAGTTGTGAAATCGATTGGCTTAAAACCTGTAGAAGACTCTAGAAAGATTTTTGGAGTTCATAGTTGTAAGCTGTTGTAAGGTAACATGTGCTGTACAAGGTACGCAGCAAAAAGGTAGCTTTTTCTTTCTATTAGTGTATTACCTACTTTGTGTCGATAATTTTTGTCCAAGAGACAACGATGATGTGTTTTGTATTCTTCACTTACCTAGGATGATCGTATACTTAAACATACAAAAACATAAGAGCTCTACCTACAACACTGTACATTTTGCTGAGATCGAAATTGTGTTATAAACTTATTTAGTTTTCATATTGATTCTAATAGGCACATGTAGGTAGGTACTGGTAAGTTGTAACAACTCACCCTGCTTGTCCAGTGGACTCCATCTTGCTGGCGATGGTGGCGTCCTTGGACCAGATGTCGAACTGCCACTTCTTGATGCCGATGAGCCCGCTCAAGATGCGGCCTGAATGCACGCCTATCCTCATGTCAATGTTCAAGGAACGTTTCTCTCTGAATCATAAAAATATTTTTCGTCAATTATTGTGGTTTTGATACAAAAAATATTGTCCGATGTGCTGATTATGTTTATGTCGAGATGTACATAGTAGACCAATTCCAAGCTAAAGCTAAATGGGATAAATGGGACAACTACTTATTTTTACCTATAAACAGGTTTTGTTATGTCGATGTTAAATGGAAAGTCACTACCCTTGAGTACCTTTCCATTGAACCTACTTCTACTTAAATTTCAGTAGGTGCCTATTCCCTCCTGCCTTGAGATCAAGGTCATCCTTAATTTTGCGAAAGAATTTGGAAGGAATAGCCATTTTAGACTAGACTGCAATACTCTTAATTGCAGTCGCAAAAAAGTGCATAAGGTAACTTTTTGATAAAAAACCTAAAGATAAGGTTCATTAAGATGTAAATGTTCCGTCATTACCTCACGTCCTTGATGATGTTTATCATTTCCAAACCAAGGTCAACGCAGTTCTTAGCGTGTAAAATTGTCGGTTTAGGTATACCACTGACGCAATAGTAGCAGTCTCCCAAGAACTTTATCCTTAATACGTCATGTTCCTACAATAATAAATGTTTAAATTAGTGCACAGCGACAGCATTGAAAAGCTTTTAGTACTTTAATGGTAATAGTACGTTGTACTTATTATTCTGTGGTGATAGTTAATGCTGATACAAGGCTTTTATTAAGAAACAAAGCCAAAACTCGATTGAAAAACAAGCATTAATTAAAATTTGAGATTGGTTGATATCTCTGCCTCTGCCTTTTTGGCACTTAAAGCTGACAACTGAAGGACTTTTCTTACCTTTTTCAATATAATGTGTCATATGAAATCACTCATTGACTTACCTCAGACGCTTCATCGAACCTTCCAAACAGTTCGTTCAGTAGTTCCACCATCCTCATTGGAGAAAGTGTAGTTGAAATCATGGTGTAGTTTACTATATCGGCGTACAAGATGCTCACATTTTCATGTTCCTGCACATACAGCTGCCTGCAATGGAAAATGACCTTAATAACCATGAGCTAAAGATTTTTGTTGCCCGACCACGAGCCGGAAGACGTAGCGTGGGCAGGCCTCCCACTAGGTGGACCGACGATCTGGTGAAGGTCGCGGGAGGTGCCTGGATGCGAGTGGCGCAGGACCGGTCTTTGTGGAAATCCTTGGAGGAGGCATTTGTCCAGCAGTGGACGTCTTTTGGCTGAAACGAACGAACGAACGAACACTCTTAAGCACCTATGTAGATGTTAACCTATTTCTTTCATCCTTTTATTGGTCAAATTTATCAAAAGACAGATTAGAATTTTAAAATTGTCATTCATACTAATTAAAAGGGGATTTCCAGCAAATCATAAAATTGGAATGGCATTGAGTGAAATCAACACAATCTAATCCAGGGCTTAAACTATCTGAACCATGATTCATAATAAATATTGCAATTGCAATAAAATTTAATTCGGTAACGAGAAATTGTGATGACAAAGGATTGAATGTTTATAAAAAAAACCTTATTTTCCTACTAAGTACCGAGCCAAACTGGGAAAAATACTTATACTTTAGTTTGCGTACACGTGGTTGTAGGGGTAATCTCCGAAATGTGTGGATTGGAATAAGATTTTTACTATTCAAAACGTCACTACATTATTCCAGATGGACATCATTCATAGATTTTATAGCTTGCCGCTATATTTTGTAATTTGAACCTTAGTACACAGATCACAAGGACTAACTTACGTGAATGATCTTATACTGTAGCTCAGGCTGCGCGACTGCAAACCCAAAAACATCTTCCGGACATCTTCTCTCACTTTGGACACGATGTGTTCTGGAAGTATACTCATCATCAGACGTTCCTGAAAGTGGAAATTACATTATCTTTCAAAAAAAATAATTAAAATATGAGTATGATGTTTAAAAGAATACTCTAATTTTTATACTGCTTATGTTAATAAGCAGATGATAAAATAATATTAAATAAAAGAACTGTTGTAGGGATATTAAACAACATAGTTCAATTTTGAGTTAGCTCAAGCCGGTGCGGAAGCTAGAGCTTAATGCTAGGGTAATAATAACTGAGTGATGTAACCATTTTTTTTTTGGTGAATTTACCCATTTCTAAACAACTGTTAGCTCAAGTTTGAAGGCACGATAGCCGAACGGTGAAGGGGTCGGACTGGCTGACTCGTGATCCGGGGAATGCGGGTTAGGTCCCCGCCGCCGCTCGACTATTGTGGTGAGCTCACTCGTGATACAAGCATATTTAGCTTAGTACGAGGGACTGACGGGACTATTAGTAATAAAAAATACTAATAATCTTTAAAAAAAAGTATGGTTAAATCCCTATCCACCAGTAATAAAGACTATTTCAAAACTCAAATACCTCTTGATCCTTGACAAATTTCAGCCTTAGTGTGCTCTCCACACACGCTCGCCTGTCCAGGAATGATCTCCGAGTTACTATCTCATTCATAAGCCTGAAGTAAATGCCCATGAGGTTCACGCCGATTTGGTAGATTATGTCAGAAGCTACCTGGAAACAGAGGTTTCTTAGGCTGGGTTGCATCATCTTACTTTAACTTTGACAAACGTCAAAAATCTGTCAAACTCCGTACAAAAACACCGGTTATCGTTGTAGTTACGGTCAAAGTTAGGTGGTGCAACTCAGCCTTACAATTTTATTTAAAAATAATGCATAAAACTTGATTTTAACTAAATATAGAGTCATGTCTGGAATTGCTTGCATATCAATATTTGATGGAATCACAGGCTTGAATCTATGAATTAAATGCTTGAAATGAATTTTGAGTGTTATTTTAATAATATACCTTTGTCTTCTAGAGTGTTGAACTAATTTATACTATGTGATTATTTTTTTAAAGTAATACATAATTATATAACCTTTTGTATCTATTAAAGGCTAGCAAAAAGTTTACAATAAAGCTGGACATTCACGATTAGTTAAACAGTTGAAATTATTTGCATCCAAAAAATGACAGTTTAAGTACAACAAATTACACACCGACGGTTAGTTTTGGATCTACGTCAGTTCAACTGATATACTAATTCATCACACATTAATATTGTGTGGGATTTAAGCACAACATATTTACTTACAAATTAAGTGCAAAAAAGCGAAGAAAGTGCAAGAAAAGGTTCTAACCCTTACCACCACCCCTATTTGAGGGTTTTCAAAGTACGTAAAGAAGGCAAATATCAGGACGTAGATCACGCTGACAGTCACACCCAGGATTATGGCAAGAAAATTGTTCCTCATTGGTAGAAATATGTAAATAGAGAGCAGGGCCATCGTAGAGTAGGCTGGCCTCAGAGATATGCCTTCGAAGAAGCTGTATATTGGCACTGCAACATCTAAAAGTAAGAGATTAATTTTGAAATATTGATGACCAATTAGGCCCGATTCGACCAAACTTTTATCCGAGAATAACTCCTGGTAATAACTGGCACATTGGCAGTTTCAGCATGGGCCTATGTCAAAGTGACGATTTATTCTAAGATTAATATTTACTCTTGTTTGGTCGAATCCACCCTTATAAAGTAAGATTTCGGAAAAAACTCGATGAAAAAACTCTAAACATAGACAAAAACAAAACTCATTTTGTGTTAAATTGGTTCGTATTATTCGTTCAAACAACCATTTTTCAAGGTCCAACAATTTTTAAAGTTAGCACGTCCAAATAAGAAGGCGGTATATTAGGTAGAACATTTAGTGATACTGTCGTATGTTCGGTGGTTTTGTCTTACTTAGTTACTCATTACTCAAGAGTATATTTTATTTTCTATGTATGTATACAGGGTGTTAGGTAAATGGGTATATGAGCCGACACTAGCCCATGTTAACATGGTCATATAAATGGTAATGTGAAGTCAGAAAATTGATATCTTCATTTTAATTATTTTAATTTTCATACAAATCGGATTTTATAAAATTTATTTTGTATGAAAATAAAAAAAATAAAAATGTTGATATCAAATTGCAGATATACAGGTATCTGCGTGTGCCTATCATATTGGACTAAAATAAACGCCGTTTAGAACTGCATAAGATATCGCAGTCATCACCATCATCATCATCATTTCAGCCATAAGACATAGTCTCCCCCAATGATTTCCATAATGACCGATTGGTAGCAGCCTGCATCCAGAGCCTTCCTACTTCCTTTATGAGGTCGTCTGTCCAACTTGCAGTCGCAGTATTTAGTTTGAATTGCCATTGATTGAACCATTTATCATTGTTCCATTGGAACCATTCCATTCGTACCGTGTGCATATCGATATAAAAATAATAAAGCAAATGTTACAGATTCACGCGATGCTGGATTTACCGCCATTGTTTATTATGTTAAAGTAGTCAGAAATTCGCTTTCAATCGACGTGTGGATTTGCAATGCAGATAAAATTTAAAAGCCATGATTGATAAATTCCCAAATCCTCGATAAGCTGGTGTTTTAATTACTTTGTTACAAGAATGCATTTTACCAATACGGATCTAAAAATGACGGATTAACCTCCATAATTGAGAAAGGGCATATCAGAAAAGCTAGATTAATCACTGTCTGATTAAATTACAATATTAGTTAACGAAACCCTAGACCAGACTTTTTTAATCCGTTATTATTAGTTTAAAAATAAATTTTAAACAAGATTAGTGATCGTAAACCCCAAATGTCTCTCGTCATCGTCACTGTCAATAATGTTAACAAATTGTGCACGTAATTAATTACGACGTTTTATGAGATAAATCATCATATTAAAAGTACAATACAAGAGTTTGTTACCTAAACATAACTGCACGTTTAACTTTCATGAATGTTTCACTAAGCTTTATTTCAGTTCTGGACAACTTGTCGATTGGTACAGTCAGCGTCAAATAGTTCGTGACATCCAAAGTAAGTAGCCAAAAAGTTCGCAAAACGTGTTTGTTACAACTGGAATATGGTCGTGTTGTCAACTTTTTGGCCACTTTATGTGTCACGACTATTTGACGATGTCCGCACAAAGAAGTAACTTTTTGATTTTTATAATTATGCTCTACTACAATAAATAGTAAAAGTGCTTTTTAAAAGCCTACTTGCATAAACATAAATGAGTTTTTTTACTACAAAGGTAGAGTCTACTTACCAGTTATAACCAGATCGATGGTGATAATAAAAGTGACGAATATTGGCATCCAAAACCATTTTTTCTTCAACGGATCGTAGAAGCATTTCCATAAGAACAGTATGGGGACTGTTATCCTTAAAATATACATTCCCATTGAGAGATAGGTTGATTGGGATTGAATATCCTGAAATAATGTGTATAAAATAATTTATAGAATAATAAATGTATTAATTATTTCAAAGATAAATTAATCGAATTGTCTTTAAAATTTAAATCATATTGGCATTCCATTTTAAAGGCCAATTTGCAGCAGAAAAGAAAGCATTTTCAAGTTAAAAGGTAGGTCAAAAAAATCTTACCTGTGTGTATGTTCCAATTATTACTAAAACTATGTGTATAGTAGAAAATGTAACTAATAGAGTTATATAAATAAAAACGAGAGTTTCCCTCAACTTATCATCGTACTTTCTATATAAACCTTCCAGATCTTTTTGGTCGAATTGATCCTGAAAGTAAAGAATATTGTTCGCGTACAAAAATAAAGTAATAAGTATTCAATGATTCAATGAACTCTTATGCTAATGGTATTATTTATAGATATCAATTTGATTATTATACATTAGTCATAGAAATGATTGTAGTATCATAATAGGATTGTAGCATAAATATATTGGTATTATAGGCTTATTTTGAACAAGAAGAAAAAGTTTGAATGACGCCTCCACATTTACTTTCGTTGTATTCACTCGTGGGAGTTTCCTTGAACTTACTAAATACAAATATATTTTTTGTTCGTAGAAAATTATATTATTTACTGTAGTATACTGATTTTTACATGTTAATACACAATAAAGTTATCAGAATGAATTTCTAAATTGTAGCGTAGTATCACCCCGTGGGCGTCATCATACCAAAATTATAAATGTGGAGTACTCATGGTTTTGTAACCAACTCTTATGAGCAAGCATTTAAGACCGACTGTTCTATCTACAAATATGTAGTATCATTTACGTTATTCAACATCATCATTGTTTGAGCCAGTTCTAGTCCATTCCTGGGCGAAATCATCATTGATTTTTCACTTAATTTATGAATTAGGGTCAGTCTCAAATCAAATCAAATCAAATCATTTATTTGTAAAACATAGGTAAATGTGGAATTCAGGTGGTACATAATAACTCAAAGTTCGATAATGACCTATATTGGTATTGCGTCCTTATTTTAACTAATTATTAAAAAACTTAAACCCAGTCATCAATAATATTTTTGAAATTACCAACTTACCCTTAAATACTTCCAATTCCACTGTTTCCCTCCAGTCTGCTCGGCTTCTTGCGTCCTGAACTCGTGTAGGGAGGACAAGACGCTGGTCACCCTGTTGGTGTTCATGGAATACCTGGCCAGCAGCTCCAAGGCACCCACTTGGAGCACCACTGACCCCGTGGTCCGACTATACTCATTCTAAACAGAAAAGCATACTAATTAGAAAGTGTGTAGACTTCTACTATCATCATCCTAAATTACAAGAATATCACTATATCTATACAGTGTGTCCGGGCTTGTAGTGATCAAACTTTAATGGCGTAATCTATGGACAGTTTTGTCGATGAAAATACTTCAAATTTGGGGCGTGGCCCATTTGTCGCAAAATTACGAGGATTTAAGTTTTTAANAATGTTTCATCAAGTCTTTTCAACCGACTTCAAAAAAAGGAGGAGGTTCTCAATTCGACCCGTATGTTTTTTATTTGTAGGTAGGTAATCCATTAATCAATATTTTCCAACCTGTTGCCAGATCTTTGTGAAAGTCTTTGAAAGGCTTTGTCTTGAAAAATACCCGGTATTTTCGTCTGATGAAGGTAGTTATTGTATGCTCTTTTAGTGATACTTAGTCTTCACAATAAAGATTTTTGTATTTGATAGGGATAGACAAATTATAAATACCCCATGTATATTGTATATTATTATATTTATAATTATGTTTATTTATTTATTTATTTGTTATACTATTTTACGACGTGTTGATACGTCTACCCACGTTATAAGATAATACGTTAGGAAAATAATCAAAGCAAAATGCAATCAGTTTAAAAATGTCTTATCCACACACGATATACGCCGGGATAATTATATTACGCTCAAAGGCAATAAAGCATCCACACACGGTATACGTCTAAATGTTGATGTATTTTGTAAAACACGATTTTTGTACGTGTAGTTTAGTATCCACACACGATATACGTCGGGATAAGCAATAAAGCATCCACACACGATTTACGTCGGGATGTTTATGTATTTTGTATAACACGATTTTTGTACGTGTAGTTTAGTATCCACACACGATATACGCCGGGATAAGCAATAAAGCATCCACACACGATTTACGTCGGGATGTTTATGTATTTTGTATAATACGATTTTTGTACGTGTAGTTTAATATCCACACACGATATACGCCGGGATAAGCAACAAAGCATCCACACACGATTTACGTCGGGATGTTTATGTATTTTATATAACACGATTTTTGTACGTGTAGTTTAGTATCCACACACGATTAAGTCGGGACACAAAGTATTACCACGGAGGGTAGTTAAAAATATTAATTTTTAATACAAAAAATAGAAATTATTCACATTATTTCATAACAATTTCAAAATACACGATTCACAACTTACCAGAATGTTTTAAATATGTATGTATGTATGTCTGCAAATCTGCAGTGACTGCACGATGGAGACAAGCGCTATGGAACCGGCTGGGAAGGGGTATCTTTGTTCAACAATTACGTCAAAACTAATAGACGTAGACTAATAAATTTACATTCGTTTTGTAGAATAGCTCAAATACTAATAATAAAATGCAAATAAAACATACCTTAACGACCTGGTTTTTCTTGTGTTGGAAAATAACTGAAAAATAAGTGAAAAAAATCATGTCTTTTTCTAATTCAATTCATTCTTACTTCCATAAAATGTATGAAACTTGTGTCCGTTTTCTACTTCTACTAATAGATAATTTTATTGACTATCGCATGATATCAAATATTCGCTTATTAATGTTAAGTTACCCACGTTTTCACTTGTTTTTGAAGGAAGAGGTGAAAACTAAAAATTAAAAACTTAAATCCTCGTAATTTTGCGACAAATGGGTCAAGCCCCAAATTTGAAGTATTTTCATCGATAAAATTGTCTATAAATTACGCCATTAAAGTTTGATCACTACAAGCCCGGACACACTGTATATTTATAAAAGCAAAAGGGCACTGACTGATTGACTGACTGACTCACTCACTCATCACGAAATCTCAGAAACTACAAGTGCTAGGAGTCTCAAATTTTGCATGGGGGCTACTTTTAGAACTTAGGTGCTCACAAAAAATTGATTTAACGAAACTCCACCCCTAAGGGGATAAAACGGGATCCACGCATACGAAGTCGCGGGTGGCCGCTAGTTTACTATAATTTAATGCTATTTTTGCTCTACCATCACTAAGTTTGAAGTAACAAAGTGTTGAGTTATGTTGTAGATAAGTTTTGTGCCATTTCTAGAGTAGCTATCACTGTTGTTCAATCAATAAAAACTAAAAACAATTTCTTCAAGATAAATATGACTGGATAAATAGGATGTTGTGTCTGTACAACATTAATCTATTAATATTACGCAAGATTACATTGTAAACATGAGTTTGTTTGTGAGAGTTCACTCAAGAACTCTCATAAAATAAGAAAGTAAGTAATATCATATATGAAAACAAAATTAATATTATATTATTATATAATTGTAAAACCTGCATTTATTTAAAAGATACGAGTAAAAAGTGTAATTAAAAACAAACAACAAACGCATTAATGGTAAATTTTATCACTGAAATGATAAGCAAATATAATAGAAAAATCTAGGAATTCGGTTCATTTACTGATTACGTGCCCTGATTCAGGGGATTTCCACCAACGATAAGTGTTAAAAGTTATCTAAATAACTAAAATTACACTTCTGGCTTACCATACTGTATGCTACCGTGAACACAGCATCGCAAGAAAAACAAAAACAAATCACTTATTCCAAAATATACGTTCGTGTTCACAGATCACTTCGTCCGTCACGTATCAACTCCTGTTGAAGACTAGCAACTTAATGATGTCCGTTGAGTGATTAACGTGATAAGTGCCACTTACCGATGATTAGTAGATTCCGATTGTGATAACTCGTTACTCGATTTCGATTGATTAATTGCGGATTTCGAAGCGCACTTTGTGTCATCAGTTTGGATGTTGTCAATATGGTATGTAGGGAAAATTTGTTTTGCCTTTTTATGCTGAGTTAATACTGTTTTGATCACAACAAATAAGTATTTTTATCGAGAGACTGTGTTGTTTTTATTTAAGAATTAGTGAAGTTGACTGTGTTTGGAATGAAAGAGATGTAATTAGTCACTTCTTTTATCGTATGTGATAATGATTGAGGTCTCAACCATGCCTGGTTGTAGACTTTATATTTATGCCGCCATAGGCAATAGGCATGTCTATGACTATATTGCACCATTATATTGAGTTATCTCAAAGCTATACTGTTTTATGTCATAACAAAAGTACTGTACACTAATGAGACATAATTCAGGAATCGAATTGTCCCGAAATAATGGTACGGTTTAACCTTTGGCGTGCTATTGAGCCGCGCAAAACTGCACCCGCCAACTGCTACGGTTTTCAAATGATGTTTCAAATGACAAAGTAGTCTTGTCTTAGGAATACTGGGACGTGCAAAAGCGCTTTTCAAAAGCCTGTTTGCAGAGAAATCAAGACTTAAAGTCGAGTGAGTGTAGCGTATGTTATTTGTATACCTACTTGAAATAGGAATTCAATCGCACAATAATCCTATAAAACTTATCTGATGGAGTGCTCATTGGAATGGCACGTGTGCTATCATGCGTAATGAAACGACAACGAGCGATGCAACATCATACCAATAAATAAATATAGTTTTTATTATTCTGTAGACGTGACAGCTTATACATTTACTGATGACCCATTTTTATTGCTCCAAAAATGAATATTCTAGGCCAATTAGATTAGGCCTCAGGTAAATTAGAAAGGATCGTTCCTGCACTGGAGACAAATAACAGTTACAGGATGATGGTCATGATGATGATGATGATTTGAGACCACATTTTTACATAGCCTAGGTACATTTGTGTTTTGTAGTTTCTCATAACTTCTGTAATGTAGTTCGATCCTATTACCTATATTTATTGATAGTCTTCTTTAACATCTTAAATAGTAGGTTCTTAATATAGGTACTTAAGTATATGCCTACCTACTTCCAAATGTTCAGTCGTGAGAAAAAAAGTTAAGCAATTATGACTCTTCTTCTAATTGGCTGCGAAACTCATTTGTTTTGTTTCGCGTTCGTTACAGAAGCCAAGTTTGTCATTGACTGTACAAATGCACAGTCTTATTTTGACTCAATAATAGGATGCTAATAAATTTTTAACACTCGTGTGGGATTCTAATTTGTGAGTAACTTATTTATTAAGGTACAGAAGACAGCAGTTGAACTTTAACGCTGTGGCATCTTATAATATCATAATAAGAAAGGATTTTAATAAAATATAATAGATTAATAATGTAATAGATTGATATGCTCTCGTTTTACGAGAATAATTAGTAGACGAAGTAACAAAAACATCATAATTATACATATATTATAAGTGTGAAGGGTAATGTAACGAGAGATTAAGTAAATATCACAGTTCATAATCATTTCAGCAACAGGAAGTCCACTGCTGAAGATAGGCCTCCCCCTTGACTTACATGATGACCGGCTGGCAGCGGCCTGCATCCAACGCCTTCTTGCTACCTTTATGGGGTCGTCGGTCCATCTTGTGGGCGGACGTCCTACGCTGCGCTTTCCTTCACTCCAGAACCTTGCTGCCCCAGTTCTGCGTACTACAGTTACAGAAATATTACAGTTAAACAAAATAAAATACACTTAACTGTTACCAAAGCTCTACTATAGATGCTCTAGACACATTATTTCATATTATAGGACTGATTAATGAAGTAATGATGGATAGTATGGCTGAAGTTCGCACCCATTAACGGAATTACCTTTTCAATAAATGATAATAAAAAACGCAAGATTTATGGACAGTAAAGAACAATTAAAGGCAATTTATCACGGTAGTGGTTATCGTATTTTTAGTTTAGTAGCACTCTACTTCTGCTATATTGGGTCAAATTGCATTATTACAGGGCAGATATGTACCAGCCTAGACTGCATCTCAATTAACACCAGGTTTACCAATACCTGCCTTGTCTAGCATATAAAATATGTAATTTAGGAATGCAATATCTTCATGTAATATTAACATTACAGTTTCTAATAAAAGTAATAGAACAGTGGTGCCCTCTAACGAATAAAGCGTTAAGTAGAGATCTTTGCAACTAGAAGCTAGGGACTGAGTATTACGAGGATAATGCTAGGGGGCGTTGCTGGTATTCGTTGTTTCTTGAGATCGGCTACGAACTTCAGACAAGATAACCAAGACTTTGGATACTACTAAATTCACAAATACATATTTGTGCTAATTATTTTATATTTCTCATTGAACGAGTTATACGATTTTTACTACTAAAATAGAATATATCATTTGTCAGGTCATTTAGTCTCCACTGCAGGAGATTGACCCTCTCTTATTTACTAGAGGCATATGGAGGATTTGGCCTACACCACAGAATAATAATAAGTACTACGTACAGAAGTTTTACTTCGCGAACGTATTAAAAAATGTATGCTCAATGTCATTAACAATATGGTGTAATTTAGCCTGTCTCAAGAGTCAAGCACCATTTTGTTGACAAACGTCAGTGATCGGCACTGCGCCGAAGCTATAGGGCTGACTTCGGTAAAATGATGTGACGTGAGGTGCCAAACTGCGGAAAATGGCGGAGGAAATACATGATTTAGCATGAATTATCATGAATAATATTAACTACTTATTTACCTCTCAGTGTCTTGATGCAACTTAAAAAAGCACATTCTGTGTTTTTATTATTATTAAGCAGTTAAATACTGCACAGTATTTAGTACACCATTTTCTTTATTTTCTTTCATCATACAGAAGAATACGCGTGTGTGAGTCAATGTTCGCCCGTATGTGAGGCCTTGTCGAATAGTATCCTGTAGGTGCCATCGTGCGTGTTTTGTTTTCGATGTAAACTCGCGGAGATGAACAGGCCTGCCTACACTCCCCATGTTGGCAAGATGGGTTGGTGAGGAAAAGCACGTTTCCAATTGAGAATATTATGTACTTGAATGCTACTGTTGGAAATGCCATTGTTATGGTGATGTTAAATTGCTTTCTAGATAATTATTATTAACAGAATATTCGTAAAATGTATTTACGCAATTCTTTACATCATGTATTCTACACGTCCCCATATTTCCAGCACGTTTCGTCCCAATAACACAAAACAAATAAATCTAGAAGTACTTATATTCTGTAAGAACAGTAGTAATGTAGGTACTTATATTCTGCCTAATCATCGTTACGTGGATTAGGTATAATAATAAGATATAAACGAAATCTTTATTTTCTCTGATTAATGAAGGAATCATTTAGGATAAGCACTGAGTAGGCTTAATTATACCTTCAAACTGCTGACTTAAGCTTTATGATATGAAATGATGTTTCTCCATAGCATTAGTATTAAAGCAAACAATACATTTTTATAGACTTTCTTAACTATTAAAACTATTACATAATTATGCTTCGACATTTAGGTAGTCTTATATTTTTTCTGTTCATCGTGATGTAAAGTTTGTTTCTTTTAACCCTTTCTCATTTAGCGTAGGCAGTATTAGAACATAATTTACAAACTGACATTCTGCGTCCGTATATTCAGCGTCAATATTGTTCGGAGACTGACATTTTTCTACGAAACTTGCCCAGCTAATCTACTCGGGGAAAGGTCAAGAAAACCTTGACATTGGACGAGACCTTTCTTATTAATTTTGGAGTATTTTTTTTGTATTTTCGTAACTTTAAAATAGAAAATTACTTAACAAGTAACATATAAAGTTCCAACATTTCAACCAAAAGATATCTACAGCTGGACAAAGGTCGCCCCAAGGATTTCTATAGCGACCGGTTCTGCGCAGCCCGCATCCAGGTGTTTCCCGCGACCTCCAACAGATTGTTCTATCTACCTATACCACAGATCCTATACTAATATTATAAATGCGAAGGTCTGGATGTCTGGATGTTTGTTAATCTTTCACGCAAAAACTACTGAACGGATTTTGATGAAACTTTACAGTATTATTATTTGTAACCCAGAATAACATATAGGCTATAATTAAGAATCAAACGAACTTACCTGTGATGTTTGATATCTAATTATACGAGTGTCTTGACCGAAGATGATTACGTTTTACATGCAGCAGTACCTGGGATGATGCCGTCCTTATCACACTTTTAGAGAATATTTATTTAAAAATATAAGTTTTAAATATAATAAAGTACGTGTTTTGACTCCTCAGCACCGTAGTACCAGTNGGAGAGATACGAAGTATAATTTATGACGATCTGTGACAAACTAAATTTTACGCGGGTGAAGCCGCGGGCAAAAGCTAGTTACTAATAAGGCTGAGCTGCACCACCAAATTTTAACCGTAACTATAACGATAACCGGTGCTTTTTGTATGGCGTTTGGCAGATTTTTGACGTTTGACGTTTTTAAAGTAAGATGGTGCAACTCGGCCTAAGTGTACTTCGTCTTCCGGTCCTTGGTTGTCAATAACTACTTAATCATGCAATTATAATCATTCACTGTTAATGCTTATGAGTAATTAGTACTAGGCGTCTACCGGAAAAGTACTAGAAAATATACTCCCATAACCATTACTCTGCACGCTCATACAAAGGAGATGGATAAAGTGTGCTCATAGTGAATAGTGCGGAACTAAAAACTGGGCTCCTGCCAAATCGTTCATATCGCCTTTAGGGAGGGGAATAACTATCACCTGTCCATTTGACGGACGTCCTGCTGAGTAGCTTTTTGTAGGCTACTTGATACATATAACGAACATATATTTTCGTAAGTAGGTAAATAAGTGATCAAGATAAGAATAACAAAGGGCTTTAGTTGTTAGTAGAATGAATACGATAATAATTATCTTATTGTTTCTCATTATTAATTGGTTAGAAATGACGTTATTTCTACTAGTTCTTCAAGATTAATAAGAAGCACCCAAGTGCTTTTCATTCATCTAATTCATGAAAACCTGAAATAACTAAGAAAATTATTGAAAGTTGTTTCTCTTTACATTTGCAGGATCAATATGTATAATGTGGAGTGGGGGCCACGTACCGGAAAGCGCAGCGTAAGACGTGGTGGACCGGCGACCTCTAAAAGATGCACCTGGTAGACCTCAGGTGGACCTCACAAAGCAGGAAGGCGCTGGATACAGACCGCTGCTAACCGGCCTTTGTGGAACTCATTGGGGGAGGTCCATGTTCGGCAGTGGACGTCCTATGGCTGAAATGATGATGATGATGGAAAATGTAAAAAACAAAAAAGTATCTACTACAATTTGAATGAAGATACTGTTAGATATTCTTGAAGTTTGAATCGACTTTCAACTTTTGTAGAGGTTTTTTTTTTAAAGGACGCGCACTGTGTGCTTACCATGAGTTTACGTTAGGTGTGCTCGCTAGCGACTACGTAAAAAAATGACATTAATTGTATGACATATTGTGCAGCGCCCCTAGCGGCTACTTTCAAGAAACAAAATCTTCATAGAGATTTTTGACGTACTCTCTAGCGAGCACACCTAACGTAAACTCATGGTAGGTGCACTGGTTGCTTGCGGAGCTTTTCCAGCTTCACCGGGCAGAGTGGCGAGTACGGAAGGTACTCTAGCCGTTTGGCGATCGTCGGTCCGCGTGCTAACGAGGCCGATTTTCTAGAGGTCACTGTTTCTTCTTCTCTTATAGCCAAAGGCGGCGAAAGAAAAAATTGCTAATAAAAGCAAAGTTACGAGTGCGCCAGGCTGCGTCTGCACCGCTGTATATAACGCCCGTAAACGTTGTGTTGTGTATCTCTCTTTCTGTGTATAAACGCTGATATACGCTGATACACGGGACACACAATAGCATTGGCCCGGTTTTTATCTTTGACTTGTTTGTGAGAGTGTTTTGCAAAAAGTGTTTATGGTTTCGAAGAAAATGTAGAGGAATCTCTAGTTCAAAATGAACATCTAATAAAATCTTTGTTAACCCTTAAGTAACATCCTTATTTTTGGTTACACATTGAACACCCTGGGGTAAAAAAATTACCCCAAACGGAAATTGATTATTTTNCGCTTCGTTAACAACAAAACTGAAAATGGCTCTAGATTTGTAATTTTGATAAAGACAAGTTAGATTTCAAATAAAAACAAAAGATTTCGAAGTAAAATAAGCATTTTAGTTAAAATTAAAATTGTCTCTACCTGTAGCGGAGAATAATGTTGTGGCAGGCCTTTGTTCAAACGATCATAGCAAATGTTGTGATAGGGATAGAGACATGCGATTTTTGGTTTTACAAAGATAATACGATAGAAAATAATACAAAGTAATAAAAACCACCGGTTATAGGGGCATTTTTTTGAGAAATTTATAAAATAACCAAAAAAACACGAATTTTTATTCAGATTTTTTTCAAAAAGTATCATTTTTTATTATTTGTTGGCATTTTTTGTGTATTTTATGTATTTTTTTAGTATCGCCTGTTATTTAGCATTATTAATGTTTTTATTTTATCAGGATATACCGCTTAGTTTAAAAGTTATAACGTTTTCTTTACAATAAGTAATTTGAAGAAAAAAAATTCTATACTAAATTAAAAAAAATCTTAAAAAAATTTTGACCTCTTTTTTGTCGATAAAAATAGGTTTAGTTTCATCTATTTTCATATGTACACTTTAACGTGACTCACACTGTATATACCTACTTATTATGATTTTACTTTTCACTAAATTCTTATTATTTTTTTCTACTCAGTAGAGCTGATATAGCTGAGCTGAGATGGGGCAGCAAGGTTCTGGAATGGAGGCCACGTACCGGAAAACGCAGCGTGGGACGTCCACCCACAAGGTGGACCGACGACCTGATAAAGGTAGCAGGAAGGCGCTGGATGCAGGCCGCTACTAACCGTGCGATGTGGAAGTCATTGGGGGAGGCCTATGTTCAGCAGTGGAAGTCCTGTGGCTGAAATGATGATGATGATGATGACTCAGTAGAGCTTAGTGTAGGACAAAATAATGAATGCTTAAGTATGCTCTATTGTACCTAGGTATAATGCATGTGATCCTTACAACCCAGAGTAAAAAGTTTCATAGAAAACCTCGACATTTGAGCAGCCCAACGAAAATATTTCACCTATTTAATAAAGTTATTGATAAAGATTCTATATACTCTGTAGAAATTGGTAATGACCAATTTGGACAGCAAACACTGAATGAGTAAATGATTGGTCAAGAAAATAACTGAAAATAACTAGGTACTACACAAAAATTGCCATCGCAATTACTCGTACGATTCTTTCTTACTTTCAAGCAGCATTTTCTTTATTACTTTTGATTTATAACGTATTCTTCTGCCAAAATATTTTTTTGCCATTCCCTGTGTGGGGTTGCCGTTCTACACGCGCTTTACTCGTAGCTAGTTTTATTCCAATTTAACTTTCTGATAGTATCATGCAATTCGTCCTTTGTTCGAGAATGCTAAGGTTTGCAAATTGCTACGAATGATTGCTTAAAGTTCTTAAAGATATTATTCTTACGGCATGAATAATAAGTTCGTTCTATTTTACGATTTTTCCAATAAGTATCCACTGTCTAGGCAGAATCATTTAGGTTGCATGGAGTTCGTAAAGTTTTCTGGTTAGTTATAAGTTAGTTTGAAAGAAACGTGAATCAGAATCGATATTATATTGCTATTGTTCGATTGTTAAATTAAGGATAATATTCGTAGAATCAGTATCAATATTTATCGTACTGGATTACCAAGCTGAAGTGACAATTGGTAGCGCTAGCGTAGACAATGGGAACGACAGGTTTTGCCCGTAGATGCAAGAGCAAATATCTACGCAGGACAATTAAATGAATCTAGCCCGAAGTTAAGGGTTCGATCCTAGCACAGTAAAAGCATTTGTATATGTCAACGTGAAATTGTGAACTCTGTCAGTTTATAATATAACGCGATAGATTGTAAACTAACAGTGGGTTAGGTTAGGTTAGATTGTAATTTAACTACGTCAGATTATAATCTGATGGAATTCACAATTTTACGGTGACATATACATCCACGTATAATTATATTAATTAATTTATAAAATTATTCTCATACAACCCCTGTACTGACAGCTAGAAAGTAAATAAAAAAAATGATTGTGATAATCTGTGTTAAGTAATAAAAAACTGACTGTGTCCCATTACCTGTACCTATTCCTTTTAAGACAATGTGATTCCTGTTGCTCTTTTACTACTTCCTAATACTTTCAAACTCAGGACTTGATAAGATAGTAAAACTACAAACTTTGAAATTAAAATATTACGCCCATCGTTCTAAACTACTAAACTTAAATTAAAAATTATTAATATTCTCATGTGCCTTTTAATGAAGCCATTAAGAGGGCGTATTTTATTATACCTAATTTAATAGTCATTAAGCTACCGGCAAAGCATAAATAAACCAATTTGATGCTTCCTCAACAAAAATTACATCATTATTACATCTTAGGTCGTTCTTTTTGAATGATAGTAGTTATTTGTATAGTTTAGAAAGAAGGAAAGAGTATGAGAAAAGTTCATGAATGTTTTAGTACAAATATCAACAAAAAACTTCAAAATTGTGTCACACCTTTTTAAAAGCTCACAACATTATGAGCTCCAAAGCTCAGCTTTGTGAAATGCATTATAATGCTACAAATGTAAACCGCTTAAGCCAATAATGTAAATAGGGTATTAAGTTAATCTAATTAAAATTATTGAGACAAATCCGTTCATCCGTTAATTCTCTAATTTATGAGTTAAAAAACCCGCAGGTAATTCAATTACTGGTCCCATACCGTTTTGAATGTGAGCCTCAGAAAATAGCTTTTGACAGCGCGGCTTCAGGGCTTATGCGAAAATTTATAGAAAATTGCATGGTACACGCGTTGCGCCCATAGGGTGCGCGGAAACCGCGGGGTGTATATTTAGAAATGTTGCCGCCGGTTGAAAGCCAGTCCGTGGTTAGCTCCCGAGCGAGACGCACGTCTCCCGGTCCTCTGCAGACGAACTCACGCGATCGTCTTCCGATTAAAATACGAAACAAGATTAAGTGTTGTGTCCACTGGATCTGGAGTGCTTGCGGACGTTAGTGACTTTTGAATTACGTTTGTTTGGACTATTCCCAATTGTTTCCCCATTCGAGGATTTAAGGTACGTGGTTATAATTACTTGATTATTTATTTATGGAACTTGATAATTGAAGGAAAAGGTCAGGGGTTTATTAATTTGTTTGATAAAGTAACGGAACATGATGATAAAGCACGTTGAAAGTTAATACACGAATGAATTTGTAATAACTGTATCGTTTTAGTTATTGACTGGTGATAAACTTTGTAAATGTTTGCGTTATCGCTTTCTTCATTATTTGACGACAATGTTTGTAGACTTCGTAAACAGACACGACAGCTTTTGCCTCCATAAATTAGAGCTTTGATGGCAGTAGTAACAGTTATAGTGTTGAATAAATTAGTTAGGTAAGTGGTTCTAAATGTTAAATTACGAGTAATCGTTTTAATAGTTTCTTTGTGTGTTTAGTATTTAATATTTGATTGAGCTTACGTTTGACAAGTTCATTCCAAGTTGTTTCTAATACTGTTTATGATATTTTTTTCTGTTTTTCTTTTGACAAGACGTGGTATTGCAGTAATGATATAAGTAAATGATTATATATTTTTATAGTGCAAATATTTATCAAGACAATTACTGATAGTACCTACTTACCAATTCTTTATAGAAATGAAGTCTTCATATGAAATCTTCATTCGCATAGTTTAACATGAACAATGAGAAAACATAATTATACACATTTTTCTTATTTCTTTGATCGGAACAATGATAGATATAATAGCATTTTTTTCAGTTTAAGCCAATATAAAATAATGCTCCACTTTTAGCAAAGGGTAAAATTCTAAAAATCCTCAGTCCATCGTTTCATAAAAATGAATACAGCACAAAATTCACATAGAAATACCTGGAACTTGAATTCACTAGAATGCCATATACATATTTCTCTTAGACCCGCCGAGTCCGAATATTTATATTGGCAACAGAAATGCAGCTCTACGAAAATTAATATTGTAGAGTAAGAATTTCAAAGCTAACATTTTTGAATAAGATGTGAAAAACGCTTTGATAATATTTTTGAATGTTCAACTACCTACCTATCACAATTTATTTATCATTTGGGTCTAATCAGGCGGTGGTTATCTCTTAGGTAGGTACAAATGTAAATCAGATACATGCCACAACCGACGAAATTTTTCTTTAAATTAATTAAAAAACAACATTCTATACAGTTACGTAGAGCTTTAAAGTTGCTTCATCTCATTTCTAAAAAGCTCTCTTAATGTTTAACACGCATTAAGTTTGATATCCATATCAAATTAAGTTAATTAATTAAGTGCCTTTACATCCTTGAAAACCGGCCATGTTTTCAAATTAATTTCAGCGGAAACGTTACTTAAGCCAAAGTTACCGCGCCGTTTCAAAAAGCTCGGTATAAAGTAAATATGTGATAGCCATGAATGGACTATCGGTCCGAGCCAGCTAATACGCTAAAAGTACTTTACCAAAGTCTTGTTTCCAAATTGCTGGCACCTTTCAGCAAAGTTTTTCAAGCAAAAAATCGTTAGATGTTAGCGCCGTATTACTTGCTACCGATGCGTACTTAATTTAATATTCCTGGTAATCAGTACGGTGTTGTTGATACTTTTGATATATTCAGACGAACAATTTTTGATACTTTATAGTCTGGTAAGCTTTAACAATGAGTCGAATTACGATGAAAGAATGAATTTTTACTCGATTGAACAAAAAGCCAACCACGAATTTTATTACAGAACTTTATGAGGCTAAGAGATGCACTCTGAAATTATACGTCTATGTAATGTTTTAGCTTTAATATACTTTATTTATGTAATAAAATATACGCATAATATAAAAGTTGAAAAATAATCCGACCACTCTGCGCAAAGTCCGAGGCACGCACCGCATGGTTCATTTAAGAAAAAAATGTTAGCGAACTTATCGAAAAAATATACGGCGCCAACACTTCAGTTTCCTACTGGCTAAATTTTTAATTGGAAAACTAACTCCGACGTTGACTTTACTGGTAAATTAATACTGAACTTCTGATATACGTACCTAATTGAGTCGCTACCTAGAAACGGAAAATATTTGCCGCTTTTGATTTTGAAAGCAAGCTTTCGAGCTTTTTAACAAGCTTCGTAATCAAAGCTGTGAGTCAAGTAAATGAAGCACATTACAAATTTGAAACGAAGTTCTTTAATTATTTACAATTGATGATGGTAAACTCGACGATAATTTTATTTTTATTTACGATATTCCTCTTACCATTAACTTTAACCACTGATCGTCTTTATCTTTACTCTTAAACTTAACACGTTTTATCTTTCGTGTACGTTTAATACAAATTCGGGTAGTCTATGACCGGCCAGTGAAGGCATTCGTCTACTATTACACCAATTAGGTGTCGGTCGATCTCTTTGAAGGCGATCATTGGATTGTAAAAGAAAATTGATCTTAGCGGACCTCCCCGTCGAGTCCGAACGTACGTCAATGTTTAATAAAATTGAGATATGTGATACGTTTTGATGTTTACGACCAGAATTTAGGGCACGTTGATAAGAAGGCCTAAAATGGTTACATCCATATTTATGGGCTTGATTGGCTTGTGCGTAAACATTTGTAAACATAGGATTTTGTACGGATGGAAATGAAAATGCTGTCATATTTTTAAATCTTTATAAATAAAAGCGAAATACAACTCACTAAATCTCAGTAACTATAGCACCTACACACTTGGAATTTAGCAAATATAGGGTGTAGACATCCGCTAAGACAGATTTTTCGAAACTTCACCCCTAAGGGGGTAAAACGGTGGTTGGAAGTTACCACGCGTACAAAGTCGCTGGCAGCGGCTATTATTTTTATAGTGTCGTGTTTTTGTTGCTTGTCTTTTTTATAAAGCAAGTGTCAGTAAAATATTAATCTACTCACTTTTCGATTTACTCAATCAAATTCCGCAGTAACTATTAAAATACACGCCGTAATTATTAAAATCCCTCGCACGTTTACTCAAATCATTTAGGTCATAATTAAGGCAGTAATTTGTATTTTTGCTCTCATATATTCGAATACATTCCGAACTCAATTAAAATGTTGAACAAATACAGAGCTATAAAACCAGCTATGTTAAGAGTAGAGTCGTGTAATGATATGTTAATAGGTTAATAGACGACAAAATTTATTGCGTGGCGGTGGGAAATTCTAATGTGAAATGAGATTTGAAATTTCAAATCGTGTTATTGAGATTGAAAAAGAATCGATTAGATTATGACATCGATTTGTTTTTGGTTTGGGACCGAAGTTTAATTATATTGGTCGTGTATGTGTATTGGGAATGATGATATTAAATGAAAAAGTATGAAGAAAGTTCCTACAAAATAAAAAATATTGTTTTAACAAATAATAGGTCTATTACTACGTAGACTGTTACGTGAAAATGTCAGAGTACAATAACAAAATAGCCAAACAATACGAATCGACTTCCATACGTCATTACTTACGTAAAAATAAAACTACCTAATACGTCAAGAAAAGCAAATTGGATGACGAAGGAGGCCGTTCATTTGAATATTCAAAAAGAGAATTCCAAAAAGAATACGCTTCAAGACGGTTATTTATTTATCATCCGAGTTGGCTTCATCGATTCCTTTCTCATTGGGTAGTGTATCATTCGAACAGACGGACAGGCTTATTTGTGTTGAGATAAATGTATTGCGGCGTCATTGAACTAGAAGTGGAGCGTCTGGTCCGCTCGCGGGTCCGCTATAGCTTGGACTAGAACAGCCAGGTCACTTGAAATAAAACAAAGCTTTTGACGCACGCATTATGCGCGAGCTTTTTTAAAAAAACTCTTACAGTAAATTAGGATGAGAAGTTTTTTCTCCAATTGACTTTTCAAACATTGAATTGTAAATGTTTGAAAAAACAATTCAATTTATTTTTTCGGAAAGTCATTGTAGTGTTATTTCAATTTGTGAAGCACAAAAATTCTTGTCAGCTAATTAAGCACGTAGTTTATGCTAACAATTCTTCCTAGTTATCCTTACAGCAGTTACTGAAACTATATATTATGTAGAGACAGACAGGACTTAAATGGTAGAATTATGTAGTTATGTGATCATCGATAGCTTATCGACCGAAGTGTGCAATACCAAATTGGACTGGCTGTTATCTTTAAGATATAGCCACTGGCCCGCCGGGTACAGGTGCGGTTGAAACAAATACCGCAGTTTTTTTCCGACATAAGCAACCATCGATTCCAATTATTACGATTAATTGGAACTCTGTCAGTACCCCGTTTTTGTTTCGGATTATTGCTCTTTGAATGGCTCTGGCAAAGAAATAATCGCCCGGAGCTATCGCTGTATGAGAAGCCATCTTCGAATTGAGTCAGTCAAAATACAAAATACAGAATACTAATTACGTTCGATGTTATTGTTCAATTTCAAGGTGAAGCTTTGAAATGTTTGTTGGTGTAATAGATTAGGGTCTGTTTTGATGCCTTCGCTTCTGTAATAACAAAGATTAACCATCGTACTATCGGGAGGATTGGAGTTAAAAAGATACCTTAAAAAGCTTGCAACGTCCCGGATAAGTCGCAACAAAAGGTTATTATTTTTTCAAGCGCGCTTCTGTGGAAATTTATTTCAAATATGTATTGGCTTATTGACTGACATCCTTATTATGGGTGATTGGGTTCAGTGTGCCATAAAAATACACATTTTGCGAAGCAGTTTCCGAAGGCAAGTTTGTTATTAAATATAGACGGGATTATGCCTTTGGGTATACATAAAACGGTTGCGATGTTTTCCCGAATCTTCTGCCGTGATTGGTTTGTTCTGAATATGACAGGATAAGATTTCGGCAGTTGATTATTAATTTAGCCAATTCCATTTTGACTGAAAGTAAAATCAAACGAAATGGGAATGACGCAATTGATTTTATGATAATGCAATTCTACCAAAAAACATTTTCTTGGAAAATTTTGACAAGACGAGACCGTATGGCTCGTACTGTGAAAAAGTTATCACATCATATGAAGAGCTTCTAACTCTACGTACCCT